GACGACGTATTGAAATGACTCATTCGAACTTTAAACGGCAGTTGAAGAAAGCGGTGAGAACAACAGAGAGTAACAGATGACTAGGGGACACGCAGCAAAGGGTTGGAACATTAGAACAGGTATTTCAATTGATATAACCCATACGGATTGGAAAACACTACAGCTGATGGGGCCAGCAATAACTCTAATTCAATGTCATGGCCAGAGTTCTAGGCTACATGTGGGCCACTTATTCGAACGGCCATACCGATCCAATAGGCCGCTGCATCCCGACCACTCGGCCTCCAGACTGAAAGCCCCTGGGATTATAGCTACTCAACACATGATTGGAGGCTGAGAAGGTTACCCCTAGTCGGCAATTATCATTAATCGGATGTTTAGTACGAGAAATCTCGGGCCCGAATGCGACTGAGCAGCGCCACCCGAATAGTCTCGTGTTAGCCGACGTTACACTGCTTCAAGCAGTGAGTTGCTTCGATGTTATGAGTTTATGAGGACTATGTGCAACAGGCGTTGGTAGTCGGGAGCTGGTCACAGCATTTATTCAATTTCCATCTTCGAGCATCTGATCTCTCACAGAATGGGCTCACTTGGTGTTCCAAACTTGCCCGAAAGGCAGCGCGCCATCATCCAAGCTCAAACCCCACCAGGGAAGCTGGCTCTTAGCTCTGATCGACTTGTACCTAAGCCAGCATCCGATGAAATTTTGGTTCGCGTCCATGCCGTTGCGGCTAATCCATCAGATTGGAAAATGTCCACGCAGTTTCCGTGCCCCGGGGCCGGATGCGGCATGGACTTTTCCGGAGTGGTGGTAGCGACCGGTCCCGGGCTTGATCCAAAAATAGGCATTGGAGTTGGTGATGCCGTCGCTGGAGCGGTTCACGGAGCCAATCCCATAGATCCTCAAGCCGGTTCATTTGCAGAGTATACCTGTGCTTTTGCAGATCTAACGTGGAAAGTTCCTCGGTCATTGTCCTTGACAGATGCTGCGGCAATCGGAGGCTGCTGTGTGGCCACGGTCGGGCTTGCCCTCTTTGCTGAGGACGCTTTGGGGCTCAGATATGAGTTGAATCAGTCTTTCGAGAACTCCAAGCCACCTTTTGTGTTGATTTATGGAGGAAGTACTGCTTCAGGAACTATGGCGATCCAACTGGCTAAACTGTGAGTCAATGAATCTGAGGCTTCCTGTTGACATTAACGGCTGATTTTGTCTTGCCCAATTAGCTGTGACTTTCGTGTGATCGCAACATGCTCACCGAAGAATGCGAATATGGTGTTGTCATATGGAGCAGAGCACACATTTGACTACAATAGCGCATCTTGTGCAGCTGACATACGGTCTTACACCAAAAGTACACTTCACTATGTCTTGGATACCATCGTGGACCCAAAGTCTATCGTAGTCGCGGACAAGGCCATGGGACGTTCTGGTGGTCGATACGCTGGGCTTGAGGCTCTGCCTGAAGACGTGCTTGATGGCACTGGCAGCGCTCGAAAGACGATCAAGTGGATGTATGTCATGGGTACCAGCATGATTGGCAGAGAGGAGGGTCTTACGGGGCCATATTACAGCAAGCCACGACCTGAGAAGCGTGCGTTTGGCAAGTGGTGGTTCCGTACCGTCGTCCAAGAACTCATGGATAAAGGTTTACTGAAGCCTCATCCAGTGAGGATGATGGACGGGGGATTAGATGCGGTTCCTAAAGGAGTAAAACTGTTGCAAGATAAGGCGGTGAGTGGTGAAAAGTTGGTTTACACAATTCAGTAGAGCATTAGAGAGAACATCTCGATTCCCCTATAGAAACTTTGAATTCAACCATATTCCAATCTGATCGAACCGATTGCTCGTGAAAGCTTTGTGATTGGGTCCTAGCAAACGAACAAAATGCATCCAAGGGTCAAATGCCACGACGTTCACTCAGGCAAACTCTTGACTTGATCCAATCAATTCATGTGAAGTGGCCTAACCGCCGTAAATTGGATATGGCTGTGCTCAAATAATGTCAAGTGCATGCTATTAAACAGAGCTACAATAGCTCATCTCGAAGGCCTATTGACCCCCAGTTGCTTGTCGAGAAATGCGAAGGTCTTTGTCGCGAGCGAGTTCCACGCCCCGACTTTGCCTGTCAAGGCACCCTCCCCCACGGTCTCTGGGATCCACACCTCTTTCTTCTGGAGAGGAACATGAACGAGCTCATCCATGATGCGTTGCGTGCTGGCATCAGGGAGCTGGTAGATAGCTTGAGATGCTCCTCTAACCAAGACAGGACACCTTACCTGCGACAAGATGGTTGCCCCACCCCTTTCTTCATCCACGTCCTTGTCTTTGAAGTCATCATCAGGTCGCCGTCGTAGAGAGTATCTTCTAAATTCTCGAACAACATCCGCCGGCTTTCTCTGACCCATCACATGCATTGTCGTAGTAAACTCCCATTTGGTAGGGAAGTCCAGCGACATATGAGAATTGCATGACCAGTCAAAGAAGCCGTCTGAGATCCAGCCGCTGAGCCACATACGCACATACCAGCCCGGCAGTCTTGTCATGGCCAGCTCCCACATATCGTAGAGTGGGTCGGCTGAGATGCAGGCTGCGACACGGGATGGCTCAGCGGCGGCCGTTCTCAGAGCAATGTATCCGCCCATAGAGATGCCTGCGACACAGACGCGGGCAAGGTCAAGATTGGCATCGGGCCGCTCCTTAGCCAGAGCCCAGATTCCATCAAGAACACACGAGAGAACCTTTTCGTAGTCAGGTCTCATTGGTTCACCGTCGCGCTTCAATGTGAGACCTTGCCCAGGACCATCGAAGTTGAGAACAGCATAGCCGAGCTCTGGGCCCAGCGTGCCGAAGACAAAATACAGTTCTTCCATGGTTGAGTCTGCGCCACCGCAGTTGATGAGAAGAGGTGTCTTCTGCTCATTTCTCAATCTCTTTGCCTCCGGGGGCAGGAACAGGCGACCTGGAATGTCGATGTTGCCGAAGTGAAATGTCATGTTAAGAACTCTGCCTTCCATGAACTCAGTGGCTTTCTCAAAGTGCTCTGCGCTGAGCTCGCCACACTTCAAGGCGCGGCGGTCCAGCGCTGGAAGCATGTATGGGGCAGCTCGGTAGTAGTTGGCAGCCCTTAGGTAGGCGGCCTTGGCTAGAGGCGCAAGGCCCTGGCGACTGGCATCCATAGCGGCCTGGCTTGCCCTGCTTGCCTGCTTCCACCAGGCGCGATACCAGCTTTCTGGGTCATGTTTCTTGATCTCGCCTACTGCCTCAAGAAACTCGGCAACATCGCACCCTCCGGTAGCAGTTGTCCCAAGGATGCGTGTAAGATCAAAGTTGTAAAAGGAAGAAGAGAAGAAGTGATGCATTATAGCATTCGATGGTTGGTCGTTGAAGTTTAGAGAGTTTCGAGCACCTGCCATCGATAAGTGCAAAGGCTTTTCGACAGAGTTGATATCAAAGGGTGGATGCTTTCAACACGCAAAGTGTAGAAGCGACTATCATTCCCGTACACATAAGATTCATACAGGCAGGGAACTTACTGCAACTCAGATCTGAACAGTTCTCAGGCAGACTTCATGGAGAAACCGCATGCCGCTGTCACTTCTGGGGAGTGCAACTTTGGCCGAACTGGCTGGGGTTGTTCGGAGTGACCGGTCGGAGGTTGGATGGCTCTCGGAAATTTCCCAGAACACACTTCAGACAGGATCAGAACCACCGGATTTCGCATGACTCGACGCTTGACAGCTACAAAGTAACAGAAAAGCTTGCATTATTTGCGGACCGAATTAATATACGACCGTACAATTCCGAAAAATCGTCGGGGCTGTGCTGAGACTCTCGTGGGCACCAAGGCCTGACCCCGTTACCACAACAACACCCTGTGCCCGAGACACGACAGAAATCGCTGCCAAACCGGTTGTTTTCTTTTACGGCTGAGACACATTTGTGACAGCTTCACTTGCGCGCATCCAGTATTGTACAGACTTCCCATCTTTTTTCTTTTTTTTTTTTCTTTTTTTTTTTGAGATACAGCCAAGATGGCAGTGGCATTCATCCACGTTGCCCCGTTGATCACTTCTTTGGCGTTGTTAGTGCTCCTCGATTTCATCATACTGATGACAATGTGAAACAGTTTGATGGGGTCCTTTGCCCAAGGAGTTGCTTTCAGAAGCTTTCAGAATCCAAGGTTGGGGTCAAAAGCGCGTCGCGAAGTGTTTCTTCACTGGATAGAAATATTCGCTGGTTTTGCTTGGTCCATGGCTTTGGTGTTCATGTTCAACATTACCTTTATTGGTCTCGACCTCTATCTGGATCCTCCGTCTGGCTTGCAACACGGAGGTGCCCCTCGCTGGCTTTGGGCTGCCGCACTTCTATGTAGCATGGGGCAGCCTAGGCCTCGCGAAGTTACGGCAGCTTTGATGCGTATTAGCAGAGGTGGCGATCAGTCTTACAGTGCAGAGAAGGTGGACTACTTCTTACGAGGATATCGTCGAGTCAATCTGGAGCATCTCTTCCTCACAGATGGTCCCAGCTGGATCTTCACTGTGGCAGCTGTTACCAAGAACCTGGGTGTTTGTTGGGGATGCCATTCTCAAAAGGCTTCTTTGGCGCTTGGAATGGTTGCCTTGATCATAAGCTGCTATGTTAGCGTCAGGGGGATCTTGCGGTCGAAATCATAGACTTGAGTATAATCAATAGATTCCTATCGTTGATTCTGTCACCAACTTCGTCAGTCATAGAACTCAGATGTACGCGAATGTGGTTAGATCAGTATTAAAAGGCCTTGAAAAATAAAGCAGACATCGACGAAGAGGAAGAAAATGCTGTTCGTGCGCGAACGAAGGGGATAACACAGTCAATGATGGCTGTTAGACTAGGTCACATAACAGTTATTGAATCGTCCAAAACCCTTTTCATAATGCTGCTCTCTTTGAGAGCAGGTGAATTGAACACCGATTAAGCGAAGCAAACGAGGCATGCAGAGGTGATGCCTGTATTATTTATCTCAAGTAGTGCGTGTATATCTCACTCGCAGGTCGGGTAGAACCCATAGAGCCTGAAACTTGCGTTCTCTATCCCAGTCAAACCTGATATCATTGACCAGTTCCCAGGTGTATTCATATGCAAGACGCGCCAGTAGTAGTTTCAACTCGGTGTAGGCCAAGTTGATTCCCAAGCATACCCGGGGACCAAGCGAGAATGGTTGCGACGCTTCCTTTAAGTCGTTACAAAACAATGGGTCAAAGTAGCCGTGAGATGCCGGAAGCCACCTCTCAGGATGGAACTCTTCGGGCTCAAAAAAGTAGTCGGGTTGGCGAGTGATACTCCAACCACTGGTCGAAACGACAGTCTGAATCATCATAATCCGTTAGCCAGGCACAAGCTTCAAATATCAGGTTACGCACCCCTTTGGGAACAAAGTTCCCATCAACTTCCGCGCCAGGGCTTTCGCGAGGCAACCCAAATGTCAACGGCGGCATGATTCTCATGGTCTCCTCGATGCATGCGCTGAGATAAGGCAACTGATGGACGGAGGTGCCGCTCATCTCAGACGCATCCGAGAACCTCTCCCGTAATTCTCTCTGCAGGCGTTTCATCTCTTCTGGTCTCCTTGCAAGATAGTATGATGCAGCAGTAGCGGTGACTGCCGTGGTATCAAACCCTGCCGCGATGAGTACGCCAGCCTGGTTTCCAAGCCATTCTTCAGACGCCACTTGCAAGAAGTTGTCAGGCTTTTCCTTCAGAAGGAAGCTAAATAAGTCCCGTTTTTGTTCTTGAGATGGTCGCGATAGTCTCTTCCGTGTCATTGAAGTCTGGTATTTGAAGAAGCGGATGAATTGACCGATAGAGCTCCAAGGCACAACGAGCGGTACCGTGAGCCACAGGATTGGAAGACGAGGCGCAATTTGCACAATACTCATGAAGTAGATAGCACCATGAATTGTGCTAATCCATGGATGCGTTGTGCCTTGGGAATGACAGTGAGCATTTGGTCTGGTACTTAGGCAAAGTTGGTCGGCAGCTGGGAGGCAAATACCTGTTCCAAGTGCGCCAAATGCTTCTCCTAAGCCTAGTTCCCCGATTGTATCAAAGACAAAAGACTGCAGGAGCTGTCGATCATCAGCAAGTGACAACTATTATCAATGGGGTGATCTATGCCTTGTTGAGTGAAAGCCCCTGTTTTTCCGCGGCAATCTGATTGTCAATGTGGGTGATCAACATGTCTAAATTTGTCTTCAAGATCGGCTCTTGAGCCTGAAGCTCCTTGGCACTGAAGCCATAGGATAACAGCTTCTTAGTCTCTTTGTGCTTAATTGGGTCTCTCTCCATGACTATGGTGCTGTATCCGCTTGGACCTGCGTAGAATGATGATTTGAGAAAGGTCTGGCCCGATTTGGAGGGGTTACCATAAATGTCTATGCGAAAGTTGGTCAGATTTGGGAAGGTTGTGGTGCGACGTTTTTTTACCTTGCAAACTTTGGGCAGTATTGAAGCTGAGTTCATTGGGAGCTAGGCGTACAACGTCACCTTCACCAGAATATTAGCTAAAGCTCTGTGGACGGTCGATCTTGCCTTCGAACAGGTGCGTTTACTAACCATATTTTTGGTGAAGCTTGTGGATGTACTCATGATAGTGGCCAGTGAGCCTGTAAAGTCAGAAGATAACTCACAAGAAGCCGAGAATGGGGAGGTACGCCGCTCACCAGTGATAAACATAGGATAACTCAGAGATTGCCGCGAGCTTAGGGCCTGGGAATCGAGCTAAGGGGTGAAAGTACAGGAGGTATACTGAACGGCAGACGCCATATATGGCGAGCTATTGCGAAATCATTCAGTCAGCTCCCATTTGTTTTCTTCAATGGTAAAGCAAGGTGCGCATTGGGAGCATGGAAAATCTCGAGAACAGACTAACCGTGAGAATGGCAAGGTGCAACGCCTCCCCCGAGTCCCATAATTCAGTAAAAACACCCATTGTTCAGTGAATAGACTGAGTGATCAGATTGAAAAGCACTACGGCAATGAGCTTGAGTGAAAGTCACCAAATGCAGCGATGTCGCTCTGGCCAACAGTGTGCGGATCGAAGAGGAAACTTCCATGCAATGAGTGAGTGCTAAGTGTATGTGTCAATCAACTGGAAAAGCGGGCTTCGTGCCATGCGCACACCCAAAAGTCGGGACGAACCATTCCACCAATTCTTGCGATAAAACGTCGGAAATTTTGGCTAAGAGAGCTATCGTTGTCGGATAGTTCGGAGGTTTGGGTGACAGGGGGGCATAGGCCGAGTCGGGTGAATCATGAGGAAGCGGGCCCAGGGTTTCCTTTGAGTGAACACGACCGGAGCCGGAGGGAGACGGAGACAGAACAGGCTTCGATTCCAAGTGACAACTCCGAATCAGTGGGGGATTAGACTTAGACTATCTAGATAACCTGCCGTATAGCCTCAACTAACATATTCTGGAAGCCTTTTGTCATTGGCAACAGCATTGCTTTGACTTGCCTGCTGCATCATCTGGTTTTCAGCCTTCGCAGCAACGTCAACCATTATCTTAGTTTGAAGTATCGACTTCACCAATCAGACGAACAGCCATGAGACAAGCTATTGAGCCTTCTGCCTCCAAGGCTAAGAGCAAATTGCAAGAGCCCATCGCAATCGTGGGTTCTGCTTGCCGCTTCCCCGGGGGTGCAAGCAACCCATCTAAGCAATGGGACCTGTTGCGACAACCGCGAGATGTCCTGCGCAAGATACCCGTAGATCGCTTCAGCCCTGAAGCCTTTTACCACCCCGACGGCACCCATCATGGAACCAGCAATGTTACCGAGTCTTATCTTCTTGAAGAAGATCCTCGGGTCTTTGACGCGGGCTTCTTTAGTATCAAACCAGTCGAAGCACATGCGACCGACCCGCAGCATCGCATTCTGCTAGAAACCGTTTATGAGGCTCTTGAGTCGGCCGGATTCCCGATGGAGGGAGTGGCTGGGTCTCAGACTGCGGTTTACGTTGGTCAAATGTGGTGCGACTACAACGACCATCTTCAACGGGACATGGACAGTCTGCCGACATATGCGGGTGTTGGGACTGCCCGAAGTATTTTGTCAAACCGCATATCACATTTCTTTGGCTGGCATGGTCCTTCGGCAACGATTGACACAGCTTGTTCGTCTAGCTTAGTCGCCGTCTATAATGCGGTGATGACACTTCGAAACGGCGACTCCCCGATGGCAATTGTCGCCGGTGCTAACATCATTTTGACTCCCGAGCCATACATCGGCGAAAGCAAGTTGAAAATGCTTTCTCACGACAGTCGATCGCGTATGTGGGACGAGGATGCTAAGGGATACGCCCGCGGTGACGGTGTAGCGGCGCTCATTCTGAAGCCCCTATCTGCCGCCCTCGCTGATGGCGATCATATTGAGAGCGTGATCAGGGAATGTCTAGTCAATCAAGACGGAAGGACCGCTGAAGGCATTACTGTTCCAAGCTCGGAAGCACAGGCCGAGTTGATTCAGCGAACCTACTCGAAAGCAGGTCTGGATGCCCTTAACCCTAATGATCGCTGCCAATACTTTGAGGCACACGGTACAGGCACCGGTGCTGGAGACCCTAGAGTAAGCCAGCCATGTCGTAATTTACCAAGTGTAAATCGCTAACTAGGTCGACAGGAAGCCAGAGCTATTGCCACTGCGTTCTTCTGTGAGAGTCACCGCAGCGACAACATTGCAGACAAGTTATACGTCGGCTCCATCAAGACTGTTATTGGACACACCGAAGGCACATCAGGCATAGCCGGCATCATGAAAGCTTCGCTTGCTGTGCAACACGGTGAAATTCCGCCAAATCTCCTGTTCAATAAACTCAGCCCCGCAGTCGCTCCGTTCTACAATAATCTCAAGATCCCCGTAACGCCTCAAAGATGGCCATCTCTTCCACCGGGTGTCCCTCGTCGAGCAAGTATCAACAGCTTTGGCTTTGGAGGCACTAACGCCCATGTCATCCTTGAGAGTTTCGACCAGAGCTTACAACACCCATTGGAGTTGGAGGAGAACGAAAACTCTCGGCATCATCTGCTCTCGCCTTTCGTGTTTTCCGCCTCGTCGGAGAAGTCATTGAAAAATCTGATTCAGCATTACGTTTCATATATCGAAGAGAATCCGACGACAAACCTTTCAGACCATCGTATACCCTGTCCCGTCGATCTGCCTTGTCTTGCAGAATCTCATTTCCTGCACAATCAGTCGAGGACTTGCTGGACAGATTGAATGAGTGGCTCAAAAAGACGAGGTCAAGTCCTGATGTATCTCACAGTACTCGCTTCTCGGGCAGCTCAGGCCAAGCTCGTGTATTGGGAGTTTTCACAGGCCAAGGCGCGCAATGGGCCACCATGGGAAAACAGTTGATCACAAATTTCCCGCAGGTTCGGTCTATTCTCACTGATATGGACCGCTCTTTGGGGGCCCTACCGCATGATCATCGCCCGCAGTGGTCAATGGTGGACGAGCTTCTGGCTGATGCCACACGCTCAAGAGTTCATCTGGCCGCCTTCTCTCAGCCGCTGTGCACTGCTGTGCAAGTCGTATTGGTCGACCTTTTACGAGCGTCGGGCGTTGAATTCAGTGCTGTCGTCGGCCACTCGTCTGGAGAAATAGCCGCGGCTTACGCTGCCGGCTTCATCACCGCCAGCAGTGCCATCAGAATCGCCTACTACCGCGAAAGGGTCACTGCACTCGCCGGCCAGAATAAGTCTCAAAAGGGTGCGATGATGGCCATTGGCACATCTCTGGAGGACGCGGAAGAACTCTGCGTCGTTGATACCCTAGAAGGACGCATTTCGATTGCAGCAGTCAACTCCCCTTCAAGCATTACACTCTCTGGAGATGCCGATGCAATCGAGGAGGCCCGTCTCATCCTTGAAGACGAGGGGAAGTTTGCAAGAATCCTCAAGGTCGACAAGGCATATCATTCAGAGCACATGCTTCCTTGTGTAGACTCATACCTTCGCGCGATGACGGAATGTGACGTGAGCCCTCGGCGGAACACGGATCAGACTTGCGTTTGGTTCTCCAGTGTTCATGCTGGTACCCGAATGCAACTATCAGATCCGGACCTGACTGGGAAATACTGGTGCGACAACATGGCCAAGCCAGTTCTTTTTTCGAACGCTGTAATGAGTGCGTGGGAGCAACACGGCCCCTTCGACGCAGTTGTCGAAGTCGGTGCTCATCCGGCCCTCAAGGGCCCTTTCTTGCAGACCCTTCAAGAGCTGAACCCGAAGGCATCCAGCCTGCCCTACACAGGTCTGCTGTCAAGGAATCAAAATGACGTTTCATCATTCACTCAAGGCGTCGGGGCTCTGTGGCAAAACCTTGGCCACGGATCTCTGGACTTTGCTGCTCTCGATCGACGGATTGTGCCGAACAAATCGTCCCCTCGACTTTTGAAGACCCTTCCTTCCTATACGTGGGATCATGACCGCATCTACTGGCATGAGTCTCGACTGAGCAAGGCGTATCGGACGCGAAAGTCTCATCCTCATGCCCTACTTGGCACGCTTACATCTAATGGACTGGAGACGGAGATGCGATGGCGCAATCTTTTGAGAGTCTCTGAGATACCGTGGGTCAAAGGCCACACTCTTCAGGGTCAAGTCGTCTTCCCAGCTGCTGGTTACATTGTCACCGCCATGGAGGCTGTGATGGCGGCAGCAGGCGATCGCAGCCCTCGTCTTGTTGCCGTCAACAATGTTGTTATCAGTAGAGCCCTGACTCTTGAGGACGACGTCGACGTAGAGACTTTGGTGTCCCTTTCGAAAATTCGCAACGAGACTCCTGATGTCATGAGTGCCGAGTTTCAGTATCACGCATTGCTTCGCCGAGACGCTCCCAATCTGACATTGCTCGCGACAGCTTCAGTCGAGCTAACGCTGGAACCTGCCGAGGACTCTGACTCAGGTGCCATGGAGCGTCTTCCCTTGCGATCTGGTGGAGATCAGCCAAACCTACTCGAAGTCGTTACTGATGACTTTTACGACTTCCTGGAGGAAGTCGGCTATGGCTATACTGGTCCGTTTCGCGCTCTCAAGTCGATGCAGCGCAAGCTTGATTACGGAACAGGAAGACTCCAAATTCCCAATGAGGACTGGAACGGGTCGCCAGTACTGATACATCCGGCCTTCCCTGATGCATCATTCCAGGCGATCTTCCTTGCCATGGGTTGGCCTCGAGATGCCGGACTTGTTGAGGTCTTCGTTCCAACCGAGTTCCAGAGCATCAAAGTGGATGTGGCCAACTGGTAGGTCGTGATGTCTCGACTAGATTTAGGAGACGAGATGGTCTTTGATTCAAGGTTGCGGCAACTACCAGAGTCAATCACAGGAGACGTGGAGGTATTTTCGCCCCCGCGTAATCCCGACAGTGATGATGATGTCGCCACGTTGATTCAAGTGGAAAACATCAAAGTCGTTCCACTTTCGCCCGACAGCGCCGCCTCCAACCGACAACTCTATTCCAAGACCGTTTACTACCCAATCACGGTTGATGGTATGGAGGCATCTGGAGGTCGGCTCCCCACTGATCAGGAGCTCAAAATGGCTTGGGACCTGGGGCGTGTCGGCATCTACTTTCTGCGTGCCATCGAGGAACAGTTTTCAGATCCTGAGTCGAGGAGCAACATCACCGTACATCACCAGTATTTCTTTGACTTTAGCCGTGACATTCTTTCTCGCGTTTCTCAGGGTAGCATGCCATATGCCAAGAAGGAGTGGTTGAATGATACCTGGAGCGATGTTGCTCCCATCTTTCACCGATATCCAGACAGTCTGGACCTTCAACTAATGCAAAAGGTCGGAACCAACATGGCTGCGGCGATTCGAGGGGAAGCCAATATGGTGGAGATTCTTTTCAAGGACGACTTCATGGACAGATTCTATGCTGGAGCATTGGGTCTTGACCTCACCATGGACTGGCTTGGGCGCATAGCCTTACAACTCTCCCGAAGATATCCCCACATGAAGATGCTGGAGCTTGGCGCTGGCACTGGTGGCGCTACCAAGAGTATCTTCAAACATATTGGCAGCCAGTTCTCTTCATACACCTTCACCGACATTTCAGCTGGGTTCTTCTCAACAGCCATGAACGTCTTCAAGTCTCCCAAGATGATCTTCAAGATCCTGGATGCCGAGCGGGATGTCGTTGAGCAGGGGTTCCAGGAGGGTTCCTACGATTTGGTCATTGCCTCAAACGTCTTGCACGCCACCGCTAAGCTCGACGACACGCTTCGGAATGCGAGACGGCTTCTCAAGCCAGGAGGCTATCTCCTGATTGCCGAAGTGACTTGCGCTGATGTGGTCCGAGTACGATTGCCATTTTCGGCCCTTCCAGGCTGGTTCAGGGGACATGATGATGGTCGACCGCTGACGGCGACAATCGACACTACGGAGTGGCATCAACGACTTTCTCGCACGGGTTTCTCCGGCGTCGATGCAGTTACACCGGAGTTCGAACCACTGGCCTGGCCGTCACTCATCATTCTGTCTCAGGCCGTGGATGACAAGATCAATCTTCTTCGAGAGCCTCTTTACCACCAGCCATTGGAGGTACTTACCTCCGATGCGAGCAGTGCTCAGGAGTCCCAAAAGCTTGTTCTTGTCGGAGGCCAAACAATGCAGTCTTGTAGCCTGATAGGACAACTAAGCCGCATCCTGGCTCCGTGGTTTGCCGGCACCAGCATCGTTCGTGTCCGCTCACTCCGGGATCTCGGCAAACTCGAGTCTCTCGGGCCAAATTGTTGTGTCATTAATCTGGCCGACCTAGACACTCCAGCCATGAGTGATCTCTCGGATGAGTCCTTCGCAGGACTCAAGAAGCTGGTGGAACGACCCCAGTGCCTTCTGTGGATCACAAGCGGGTGCCAAGAACAGTCACCTGAGATGAATATGAGTGTCGGTCTAGGTCGAGTGCTTATCCATGAGATGCCTGGCCTACGACTCCAATTTCTGGATTTGGACTCTCCCTACTCATCTCAAGCACCTCGAGTTATTGCCGAAACCTTCTTACGCTAGAAGACTCTTGCAGAGATCGAGCAAGGTGACCATTCATCGCAAGCGCTCTTGTGGGCTCGTGAGCACGAGCTTATGCTGGAGAACGACATGCTCAAGGTGCCTCGCATCGCCTACGACCCCGCTATGAATCTGAGATACACTGCTTCCCGGAAATTGGTCACGGAGTCTACGAACTCCCAAATTACTCCGGTACATCTGCGCTGTTCCGGCACTTTGTGGAAGTTTCACAAACTTGCCACGGTTGGCCCCTTAGTAGAAGCTGATAACTGGCTCAAAGTGACTGCATCATCAGCCGCACCCTCCTATGGTGGGCTTTACACTGTCCTGGCTGCTCCTACCGGTGGCAATGCTCCGGCTGTAGCATTATCAACCGTCAATGGCTCTCTGCTTTCGCCTCAAGATCTCGCAGCTAATCTTTCTGTTGATGTTGATGTGGGGAACCCGAACGAATTTCTATCAGCACTGGTTTGCCAGCTGCAGGCAGCCAGCATCTTGGATGCTGTTCCCCACAAGTCCTCGGTCATGCTCTATGAGGCAGATGAGGCGCTTGCTGCTTCCGTTCTCTCGAAGGCTTCAGAGAAGGAACTGACAGTTACTTTTGCCTCAATCTCCGTCAGTCCAGGCAATCTGAAAAAGACAGAAAACACCTCATGGGTCAAGATCGAGCCACACTCTTCGCTCCGAATGATTCGTTCTCAGCTGCCACCAAAGGTGGATATTATCGTGAACTGCGTTGAAGCTCGCAACATTACGCTGCCTCCGACCCTTCTCAACGCTCTTTCCCAGCGATGTTCGAAGCTGGCCCTGCTCGATCTTGTTCATCAGAGACCTACGCATTCCTTCAATCCCCTCGACGTCCTGACGACTGCCCTCAAACGCGTGTCTGGAAGTGTCATAAACAGAGCTTCTACAAAAGCAAAGTCTCTACAGAACCTTGACCTTTCCGAAGATCTGGACATCGGGCTCTCTGTTGTCATTGACTGGAGCTCGGACAGTGGTTTGGTTGTGCCAGCGGTTGTACCGCCTGTGAGCAACTACCTCTATTTCAAGCCCGACCGCAATTATGTGCTCTTTGGACTGACAAGCGATCTCGGACAATCTTTGTGCGATTGGATGATTAATCATGGGGCACGCCATCTTGTGATGACCAGCCGTAGCCCCAATGTTGGCTCGAACTGGTTACGTGCTAAACAGGAGGCCGGAGTCGAGATCAGAATCTTTGCTAAGTAAGTCACCACGCCTGCTTCCAAACGACGCACCTCGCCTCACTTTGAGAGCCTCTCGCTAACCAAGTATTCCAGTGATATCACCGATGAAGCCGCTTTGCGTGGCGTTGTCGAAGACATCCGCACTAGTATGCCCCCAATCGCTGGCGTCGCCAACGGAGCTATGGTACTCCGCGACAAGCTGTTCATGGACATGCCACTCGATATGATGACACAGACCCTACATACCAAGGTCAAAGGTAGCATCTACTTGGACTCAATCTTTGGCGAAAAGTCCGAGTTCAACCTAGATTTCTTTGTCTTCTTTTCTTCGATCGCTGCCGTCACCGGAAATCGAGCGCAGTCCAACTACAGTGCCGCCAACATGTTCATGACCGCCTTGGCCAACAACAGGCGGGCGCGGGGTCTCCCAGCGTCTGTCATGCACATCGGCGCAATCATGGGCGTAGGGTACATGGCTCGCAGCCTCACACACGCTATCCTAGATAATCTCTGGAGCGCCGGCGCAACTTGGATCTCAGAGAAGGACTTCCACAACTGTTTCGCCGAGGCGGTGCTTGCAAGCAAACCAGACAACGGTGTGAATGGCGACTCTGAGTTCATAGTTGGCTTGCGTCAGCTTGTGCACGGAAAGGACAGTCCAGATAAGGTCCTAGTGATGGAAGATCCTCGTTTCAGTCACCTGGTCATCAAGGAGATCTCTTCAGAAGACGACTCATCCCAGGATGCGGGGGCGAGGAAGTCGACCTCAGTCAAACACCTGCTCAAGAGCGCTAAGACACCAAAGTCTGTAGAAAGAATCGTTCGTCGTAAGTCGATATCTCTCTTTCTTTTGATGTGAGTATACTTACACATTTTTGAAGACGGGTTTGTCGCAAAGCTGGTTGCCACTCTGCAGTTGGACAACCAAATTCCGGAGGCCGAGATTCTCGGCTCGAGAGCCGATGAGCTTGGTGTTGATTCTCTAGTCTCCGTCGACTTCCGCACCTGGTTTTCTAGCGAGATGTCAGTGGAGATGCCCGTTCTCAAGCTTTTGGGCGGCTCTACGGTTCAAGAGTTGATCACGTTTTCGTTGGAGAAGCTCCCTGGTGCCCTAACACCAAGCCTCGGAGATGGCAATGAAGATGAGCCCGAAGAAGAGGAAACACCCCAGTTGACACGAGATGCTTCTGGCCCTTCCAAGCCTATGCAGATCATAGAGACTCATGGCGCTGCGGCACGACCCACCAAGCAGCAAGCTGCGCCAGTCCCACTTCTCGAGATGCCCAAGGTCCCAGACAACATTGAGACAAGCAAACCATTCATGCCGACCGGTAGCTCCTCAAGATCTTCGCCGTCGTTATTAGATGACGAGTTCAGCGATAGTGAAGAAGACGGCGTGGTATCTCTCTCAAGCTCGGCAGGGTCAGCATCTCCTGAGCTTGTCACCCCAAGCAAGTTGCAATTCAGTCAGGTGGATCGTGAGATTCCCATGTCCGCTGGGCAATCTCGATTCTGGTTCCTCAAGCATTTCGTCACCGACAAGTCAGCTTTCAACATCACGTTCTGGGCTCACCTGAAAGGGAACATCAGAGTCGACGCACTTTCAAAGGCTGTCGACACGGTGGCTCAGGCCCATGAGGCCCTCCGCACCTCGTTCATCACCGGTCGAGATGGAACCCCTACTCAGTGCATCAGGCCAAAGGCTCTGTTGAAGCTCGAGCACCGATTTGTTCGCGATGAGGGCGATGCAAGACTTTTGTTCGATGAGCTCAAATCCCATGAGTATGACATCGAGGCGGGAGATCTGATGCGTTTCCATCTCCTGAACCTCTCGGAACAAGCCCACTTCCTTGTCATCGGGTATCATCATATCAATATGGACGGCATCAGTCTCGAGGTCTTGCTTTGTGACATTGAGAAGGTTTACTTCGGGCATCCGCTGTCGCCGCCAATTCAGTACTCCGAGTACTGCTGCAAGCAAAGCCAAGACCTTCACTCGAACGCTTTCGCCGATGAGAAGAGATTTTGGGCAAAAGAGCTGACCAATCCTGCACCGACTGTTCTACCCCTGCTCCCATTCGCCAAGATGACACAGCGGAAGCCGCTTGACAAGTACTCCCACAATCAAGCCCAAAGACAGGTCGACATTGCTGTGACTAGGGCCATCAAGGCCGCTTGCCTTCTTACAAAGACTAGCATGTTCCACTTCCTACTGGCCACCTATGCTGTTCTGCTGCATCGGCTTCTGGAAGTTCAAGACTTCTGCATCGGCATGGCTGATGCTGGTCGAGAGATGGGCACATTTGCTCAGAGCATCGGCATGTATCTGAACTTGCTTCCTTTGCGATTCGCTATGAGCAGCGGCCAGCGATTCAAGGAGGTGTTGGAGAGCTCCAGGCGCAAGGCGCAAGCAGCAGTGGCTCACGGGCGCCTACCTTTCGACATGATTCTCCAAGAAGCAGACGTCGAGCGCTCTGATACATATAACCCACTGTTCCAAGCCTTCCTCAATTATCGACCCGGTGTCAGTCAGAATCGCACCTTCTGCGGATGTCAAGGTCAAGGCGAGGACTTGGTCAGCGGGACGACATCCTATGACATAATGCTGGACGTCATTGAGAATCCAGACAGCGCTACTCTTCTTCGGTTCGACATCCAAGGATCACTTTACACGAAGGAAGAAGCCGAGACGTTGATGGACACCTTCGTCACTCTCCTGGAAAGCTTTGCCAACAACACGGATGTTCTTATTGACAAGCCATCATTTTTCAACCAAGACGAGGCTCAGAAAGCACCAGTACTTGGAAGAGGCCCTGAGCATGTTTCTGTGTGGCCAGAGACCGTTCTCCATCGCATCGACAGGATTGCTAGTCAACAGCCCAATTCGCTTGCAATCACCAACGGTTTCGCGTCGTCACTCACGTATTGTGGACTGAAGAGACGCGTGCAGGCCATCGCCCAAACCCTCCTTCAGAGCGCCGGAGGACAACGCAGCGGGCTCATCGGCGTACTCTGCGAGCCTTCAGTTGATGCCGTCTGCGCACTGCTCGGTGCCATGTGGGCCGGGTTCGCATATGTTCCTCTTGACCCAACCTTGCCTCCCGAACGCCTTGCTGTTCTGGTCAAGACATCCCGGCCACTTCTCATCCTAACTCACGCTAAGACCATTGATCGTCTTGCTGATCTGGGATCAACAGCTGAATACATCCCTCACATCGACGTCTCTCATCAGCAACCTGCCAGTTTGAACTCCGTGCCCATCTCTGCCAAGCCTCGAGAACCTATGGCGGTACATTTTACAAGTGGGACGACGGGTACAACTAAGGGCTTAGTCCTCTGCCACGATACGGTCGTTAATGTCGTCGAGGCATGCGCCGACATCTATCGGACAGCGTCCAACGTGGTTCTCCAACAGACAGCACTCAACTTCGACATGGCCCTCTGGAAGATCCTGGTTACCCTTTGCTCAGGCGGCAAGCTTGTCATCGTCCCACAGGAGAAGAGACTCGACATGACGACGATAGCTCGTCTCATTCGCCAGGAGGAAGTCACTCTTACTATCGCCACGCCATCTGAATACTCCGCATGGCTCATGTATGGATCGGAGGATCTTCAGCATAACAGGCACTGGCAGATTGCCGTCATTGGCGGGGAGCAATACTCAATCTCGGTAGACAGCGGATTGAGAAACCTGCAGCTTCCTCGCCTACGGCTGATGAACTTCTACGGGCCTTCTGAAGTCAGCTTTGTCTCCCACTATATGGAGGTCTTCCCGGGGACGGCCTCCACCGACGAACCAGTACCTGTTGGCTCCCCCCTCCACAACTATGCCGCATACATCTTGGATGTAGCACAAAGACCTGTAGCCACTGGAATGACTGGAGAGGTCTACATCGCCGGCGCCGGTGTGTGCAAAGGTTATCTCGACAATCTGAGCTTAACCGAGGAGAAGTTTGTCGACGATCCTTTCGTGCGTTCAGATCTCGCAAGGTCTCATGGCTGGACTCGTATGTACAAGACTGGCAACAAGGGGAAGATCAACGAGGATGACACGCTGTCCATCTTGGGGCGTATCGAAGGCGACGCACAACTCAAGATCAGAGGCGTCCGAATGGAACTCGAAGAGATCGAGAGAGCCATCTTGAACAACTCGGACGGCCTGCTTGATCAGGTTGTCGTCTCTCCCCGTGGGGAGGGCGAGAGCAAGTATCTCGTGGCTCATGCACTGCTGAGTGCCCGAGGGCGTCACAACACCAATATCGACGAGCAACTGAGGGACACCTTGCAAAACATCACAAACCTCCCCAGAGCCATGCGGCCAGCCACAATAGTCCCTGTGACTAACTTGCCTCTGACCATTCACCGCAAGGTAGATCGAAAAGCTATGGCATGCTTGCCTGTGACCACGCCGGAGCTTCGACAAGCTTCCCCCGTCAGCCAGCAAGAAAGACCCCTCACCATTGAGCAGCATGAGATGTTGCGCCTCTGGAGTCGCGTTGTAGGGCGCTGTCCGGCCGAGCTTTCCGGTCCTGCTTCTGCCATTGACTTCTTCAATCTCGGTGGCACCTCTCTTCAGCTCGTCGGCGTGCAAGCCGCCATTCAGGCCCAGTTCGATGTTTCTGTCCCGGTGGTCGAACTGTTCAAGAAGAGCAGCCTGGAAGCAATGACGGCTCTTGTTGCCACTGAGATTGAATCAGTCAGTGATGACGAGAGTGACGTTGATTGGGAATCCGAGACGGCCCTACCCGACCTTACGCCGGCCTCGAAGGATCTACTCTCGCAACATCCGACGGTATCTGTTCGTCAGCCACCACGCGTAGTCGCTCTCACTGGCGCAACAGGCTTCGTCGGACGAGCTATTTTACGTTCTCTCTTGGCCACACCCTCTATTGAGAAGATTCACTGCCTCGCTGTGAGAGACTCAACCCGCCTTGGCGAGATGTGCAGCGATCGAAAGGTAGTTGTCCACCAGGGCGACCTCCGAGACGCGTCTCTCTCACTCGATGACAGCACGAAAGAAATTTTGGCGCGGACCGTGGATCTGATCATCCACAACGGCGCTGATGTGTCCTTCTTGAAATCTTACGCAGCTCTTCGGGCACCCAACGTCTCCAGCACTAAGTTCTTGGCAACCGAAATAGCAGCGCCTCGACGGATTCCGATTACATATTTTTCCTCGGCCGTGGTGGGACGCCTCGCTCCAGAACTGGACGCCTTCGCGCCGGTCCCAATGTCCCACCGTCCCCCTCCACCAGGATACCGCGACGCCTACGGAGCTTCAAAGTGGGCAAGCGAAGCCGTCCTTGAGAACGCGAATTGCGATCTCGGTATCCCGGTGACGACCCGCCGTCTCTCAAGCGTGACCGGCGCCGGCATTCCGGAGTCCGACATCATGGGCAACCTAGTTGCTTACTCTGAGACGCTGGCAGCTGTGCCAGTGACCCAGAAGTGGAAGGGTGTCTTGGACTTCGTGTCTGTCGACCGCGTTGCTCAAGCTGTTGTTGCGGATGCTATGCGCCGAAGTCGTGTGGACGAGGTCCGATATCGCCACGACTGCTCTGATGAAGTGGTATCGCTGGATGGAGATGGTATCAGCGGTTTCATCAGCCAAAGACTACAGGGCAAGCCTGTCAAGGTTTTGCCAATGACAGAATGGGTTGGCAAAGCTAAGAGTGTCGGAATGAGCGATTTGGTATGCACATTTTTGGAGCAGGCTGAGAAGGAGTCAGGTATTATCACGTTTCAGAAATTGCTGAAGTAGAGGTCAAGATCTAGAATTCGGCATTTCCTTTTGGAAGGCGTAGGGATATTAAAGTGCATCATGATAGAATTTACGTATTTTAGTACTCAATGAATTGTCTTTCGTCACATCATCTTGATACCTTGAACAGCGTCCACTTGCAATGCGGGGATTGATCTCCCAAACCCTGCGGTCTCCGCTTATCTCTGAGACGGTACTGGGGCCTCGCTCTCAAAGACTGCATACTACCTACCGCCTTTACCTTCTGGCCAACTTGTGACAGCCACGGTGAAGACAGCCAAATCAACAACATTAGTGGATCGATCTGTTTCACTTTCACACCAAAGACCTGGCCTGAATGGAATTCAATTGGATCTCAATTTTGTCTGCTGCGCTATGGAGATGCTTGAAGCCTAGCCCATTTTCAACGTCTCAATTTTTCGATTGCAGCAACCACTCAAAACTTCTCTTCATTATCCTGACCCGACTCTGCCCCGGCCTCCTCCTCGTAGTCATCATGGTCGTAGAACACCATGGCCCTAATCTCAATGCTAACCCTAGGGTCTAGCTTTGCTTCATCCAATCGCGGATCTTTGAATGCTGCATGAGGGCAACGCCTCACAACCCCGGGTCGCTTGGTTGTGTCGGCCTGAATGAAAAGCACGACGTCGTCTGTTTGCTGGTTGTCTTTGAAGTACCAGCGGTGAGGCTTCTCGGGGTCTGATGCTGGGCACACTTCCAACAATTCAGAAGTCCTGTTGGGGTAGATGAACGGGACCTTGATGTAGTCCTTGTCCGGGATGGTGGTGGCATCTGACACGGCGAACGGGTCGCGGGTGATCGGCTTGCAAGGGCGCCACATCTTTTGTCATATTAGTGACCGTATCGATGTATAAGACGCCCCAACTGAAAAGGGTTACATACGTTGATAATTTGAAAACGTGGTTTGGCCAGGAGTTCAGGTGCATCATAGCCCAGCCACCGAATCGCAAGTGGTTCGGCAGCAGATGCAGACTGATCAACGTGAACGTTGTAGATAGGGCCCAGAGTTCCTTTTTGTCCCACTTGAGATACACGGTTGGTGTGCATCAGGACTCGAATGAGCGAAGGTTTGGGTCTTCAGTTTGTTAGCAATGCCGGTTCAGTCCTCACCATTTGCATATTGAGCGTCTCACAGATCTTCCTGTTGAGATAAGACTTCCTCCAAAAACTCATGCATCTCATCGTAATGGGCCTTTGTGGTCTCATCGAGCGGTTCCAAGGCCCCATCTCGGTTCTTCAACTCCGAGAGTACAGCCTCAAAACGAGTCTTGTGCTTCACGTATTGAAAGCCATGTTTCATGAGCTTGAACGTATCTTCGATACCTGTGACATCGGTGACTATCACAGGTGAATCAACCTTGGGCGCGAACTTGGGAGGCTCAGGTCTAGTTCATCATGTTAGATGTTGACAATGCATCTGTGGCGTAGGGCGCACGTACCCTCCAATGATTGTTGGCTCTAGAGGTATGCTGGGATCACCTCCGTAATATTTCATAGTAGTATGGATTTCTTTGGACATCCTCTCTGCCTGGGGCGTTGAGTATGTCGGCTCTTTGGGGTCTGCATGGTTGACAACCATTGTGATGTGGATTCGAACTGAATCGAAAACGGCCTTGGTCAAGTCTTGATTGAGCACCTTGTTGCACACCTAAGATTGTCGTGATGTTGCGCATTCATCTCGTTGGCGATGTTCTACGTGTATCAGAAAATGCTTCAATTCCTCGTCGGAGTTCAGTTTGCTTCAGTTCAGCTGCATAGTGCTACGAATCGCTGCTTCGGTGGTTTTGGACGGCAGCCCACACAGGCCGCCGACGTTGGATCGTATGATCGTCCAATTTGTGCGAACCCATAGACACTGCCAAATGAGTTGCAGATGATACGGAACTTTTGCGGACTTCTTGTGGTTATCTCGTAAGGCCCGCTGCTATGCCAAGGCGCATGGGTTGTGACTTTCGGTCCGCTGTAATAAGGACCTTTTCGCACTACCTCAGATTTGCGGATGAGTTGTCGGGACTTTTGTGCATTCGGACATTATCGGCAATAAGATTTGGCAGATAACTGGAATTTTAATGGAATACTGTGTATGACTTGGACAGACTCATTCTCTGTTTTCATAACCTCCGAAGGCGTCGGCATTGGCTCCCCGACAGGTTGGCATCCGGCCGAGTCATTACGGAGACTTTGATGTCTGCATCATCGGATATTGCCCTTGCGTCCATCAACCGACTTTGCATTTGGTTACTCTCGTGCTTATCGCCAATTGTATTGCACGGGTTTGCAATGTAATTCGTTTTCGGGGCATGCGTCTCCCAAAAGGTTAGTCCCTTTCCAATGCAAGCAATCACCGGCTTGTTGAGAGACGGGCCAAGTTCTAAGTAAACGGATATAAGTATCGTAAAATAGTGACGCCTTGCGCTACAACGTATTACTTACACCGCATAGCATAAGGAGCAGGCATCAACACCCAAACCCATCGAATTAGTACCTCATAATGGCACCCGCTAGTATCGAAGTAGACATCCCTGTCAATGTTTCAGCAACCAAGGCGGCCTTTTCAACAAAGCCCCTGAGGCAGTCGGGAGCTCTAGATGCTTTTGAATCTTTTGACCCGACTCCCATTATTGGCCGCGAATTTCCTACGGCCAACATTGTGGACTGGCTCAAGGCCCCGAATTCAGATGAGCTGATCCGTGATCTCGCCATCACAGGTAAGTGATCGCACGGTCCTAGCGCCTAGACCCTCTGTCGAGCTGTCACTGATCTGATGGGCATTTTCTCAACGTGGTGTTGTTTTCTTCCGCAAACAGGATGATCTCACCCCTGAGCTCCAAAAGGAGCTTCTCACACGGCTTGGGGAGCTGACTTGCCGTCCTGCGGAGTCTGGGCTTCATATCCACCCGGTTTTCAACGCAGAACGAGATGATCAGGGGGATGATCATGTCGTCGGCTATATTCACCAAAAGCAGACGAAGCCTTCATTCTTGAGAAACAAGGACCTAGCACCTGACGCACTCTGCCCTAAAAAGCAGAACACTTCGGAATGGCATAGCGACTGCTGTTTTGAGCCAGTCCCGGCTGACTACTCGTGCTTGCGTCTCACTACACTGCCTGCTACTGGCGGTGATACTCTTTGGGCCAATGGTTATGAGTTATACGACAAGATCAGCTAGGCAGCGACGTCCTCAGTCACCAGACTCTTCCGTATGTTAACGTGTTGCAGCGAGCCTTACCAAAAGTTTCTGGAAACCCTCACCTGCACATTTGAGCCACCTGGTCTGAAGCAAATGTGTGATGCTATGGGAATCAAGCTTTATGCTAAAGAGCGTGGTAACCCCGAAAATGTCGGGGATGTTATTAAAGCTGTACATCCTGTCGTGAGGACCAACCCCGTCACGGGTTGGAAGAGCGTTTTTGCCATCGGTGGCATGGTCAAGCATATTAATGGTGTGACGGCTGAGGAGAGCAAGATGCTCATCGATTGGTTCCATGAGTTGGTCTACAAGAACCATACTATGCAAGTGCGATTCAAGTGGAAGGATCCCAACGACTTCGGTAAGCACTTCATCCAAGAGGCCTATGAGATTCATGATGCTAATCTTATTGTGAAAGCCATCTGGGATAACCGCAGTTTCTACCATTCAGCCACTTACGACTTCTGGGAAATGGGTGATCGGCATGGATGCAGAGGATCTGGAGTTGGCGAGAAGCCGTACCTTGACCCGAAGAGCAAGTCAAGAAGAGAGGATCTTGCAGACCTCGGTGGATACTAGACTCAGCAAATACCACTTCTTGGTACAGAAATAATAGTCATTGGAAGCGAATTGAGGCTCAGAATTAGGAAGCCCCTGATTTTGGTCGCTCTTGGTGAGTTCGTGATCTGATCCCTGTCCGCTTTGCTCACTTCAACAACAGCAAAACCTGCACAATCACTAGAGGCATCTTTTCAATAATATTTGACGAGATTCCAACTATTGAGGAACTTTACCAGATACTGTTCTGAGTACCTTATTTTATCAATAGTTTTGCCGGAGAAAATAAATACAGTGAGATTATTAGGTACCTACGCAATGACCATCTCACTGGAGCGCTTGGCGGATGACGTCAGCTGCTAAGGTCCCTTTGAGACGCTGTATTTGAGTGGACTCATTCACCACTTCCCGATCACTCACCCAACAACCTGCCAACCGCAACCCGCGATCTTGCGAAAATGTTCAAGAAGAAGCCCACGGTGAAGTCGCTCTCACCCCTGCGGTCCTCCGACCGTAGGAAGCTCGCAGATCAGGTCATCAAGGACTACGGCCTCGACTCCAAGCTCGTGGCGACCACGGACGAGCAAACACCGGAGCAAAAGGCGGAAGCGCTCGCCGTGCAGACCAATCTCCGAAAATCTCTGTTCCCCGACAACCTCCAGTCCGCCCGCTTCACTACCACCTACGGCCCCGATCTGAAGCCGACCTCCGGCACTTACTACGTCGGCAGCCACGATGGCGAGGAGCCCCGCGTTCTGTGGTTCCAGATGGAAGGCGTCGTCTACCCCACGGTGTACACTCTCTGGGCCAATCCCGATATCGTCCCGCTTCTCCACACCCCGGGCATCGTCGTGAAAAAGCTTCAGGGGGGCGCCGATCTGATGACTCCCGGCTTGTTCGGCGGGCCGCCGTTCCCCGAGAAGGCTAAGAAGGGTGCTGTCGTCGCCATCGCAAGCTTGGAGAACCCGTCGGTGCCCGTTGCGGTGGGAGCGTGTGAGATCGACGTCAGCGCGCTACAGAACGTGCGGGGTGCGAAGGGCCATGCTGTCAAGAATTTGCACTGGGCCGGCGACGAGATGTGGGTGTTCAGCACCAACAACAAGCCGGGCAGGAAGGCTCCGGAGGAGATTGCGGGATGGTTGAAGGTCCTGGAGGCGCGTGGACTGGTTGAGAGCTTGAGCGGGCTGTCCCTGGATGACCCGGATGAGGATGGAGGGGTTTCTCTTGAAGGCGACGCTACCGCCGAAGACGCCGGCCCAGCAGCACCCGAAGATGATATCCCCGACTTCACACAGCCCGAGATCGATGAGGCGTTCCGCAAGTCATTCCTTTTCGGCATCCACCAACACAAGTCTTCAAACTCACCGCCCAACTACGGCCTCGTCTTCCCACTGTCTCAGTCTTATGTCATGTCGACCCTCATTCAGCCCTTTTTGCCGGCGCATACACCACAGCAAGCACAGCAACTGCAGATCAAGAAGACATCATGGAAAAACATTAAGAAATTCATCAAGAGCCTCGACAAAGAGGGGCTACTGAAGAGCAAAGAAAAAGGCCAGGAAACGGTTGTTACGGAAGTCAAGTTCGAGAACCCCGCGATTGTTGACTTCAAACCGTATCGCTTACCCAAGAAGGAGACGGCTGGCGGCACATCACTTGGTCGCGGTGAGACTGCCACGAGCAAGGTCGATGTTGGTGACGACGCGGTGGGCCAGAAGCTGAAGATTGTTTCGTACTTTAAGCCCACATCCAAGCTTCAACCCATCTTCGACTCGGCCTCAAAGTCGCTGTTCACTCAGTCAGAAGTGCGCGATGCCGTGACTACCTACATCGAAGGCGAGAACTTGGTGTCTGAGACGAACAAGCGCATCGTCAAGCTCAACCCGATACTCGCCAACGGCGTATTCACTGGCTCTGGAGCAGCTGACAAGGACGCCCTCGCCAAGGGCACCTTGGCCCGAGATGCTCTCATCGACAGGGTATTGAGCGGCATGTCCACATCATACGCGATTGTCCGGAACGGGACAGACCCCAGCAGCGTCAAGGCCAGAAGCGGGTCGCCGCCAAAGATTCACATCACCCTCGAGACAAGGAGCGGAAACAAGACTGTCACTAAAGTGTCCGGGCTGGAACCATACCACATCAGCCCGAAGCCGCTGGCTGACGAGTTGAGAAAGGTCTGCGCTGGTTCTACAAGCGTTGAGCCGCTGGCTGGTGCGGCGAAGAAGACTGAGGCGCAGGTTATGGAGATCATGGTACAGGGGCCGCAACAGGCTGCAGTGGTGAAGGCGCTGGAGAAGAGAGGTGTTGAGAAGAGATGGATGGACCTGGTGGATAAGACTAAGGGGAAGAAGCGGTAGAGCCTGGTTGATGTATCAAACTGTGAAAATAATGAGATTCTACCGTCTAGTATGTTGACGAAAAAGAATCGATGTGGAGTGCAGTCCGTTACGCCAGAAAGCTACATCGCAACGGATATCGAATATAATGATGGTTACCACAGCAATTCCGGGAGGTATTAGGACAAGGCTCAGCATCATCAAGGCTTAGTCAAATACATTGTAAGGGGCTGGCCCCTAGGCTTGTTCAACGTAGAGGTTCAACGTAGAGGTGCCGTCGATTGACTATTCTAAGCTGAAGAAGGAAGAAAGGACTTTACAAGATTAGGCACCTAACAGCGGTGAAGCAGGCCGGGTTAGGCGGCGTACTGCGGCAGAATAGTGGGTCCAACGGAGCCGGATCTCGGTAACTGCTTCGGCGAAGCCGGAGATATCAATCCGGGCTCTAGCCCGTGACATACATGGTCTCTTTCTTAAACAACGTTGAGATGTCGCCATCCATGTCACCATGTAATGTCTATGAGTGGACACAGATGTCAGGCTTTAAGCCTTGGAATTCCATCAAGCAATCAGAATCCAATATCGGGGCGTCTTTGGCAAGCAAGACTCACAGACGCATTGTGCTCTCGATCATCAGAATATTTCTAACCATGTCAGGAGTATTTGTCTTGCATTCTAGGCATTATCTACGCCTTGGTGCGCTATTGTGATGGTTTTTCGTAGTTTAAAACCTTTGGGAATGAAGAACAAAACAAACCCCAAACCAACAAATCCCATCAGTTGGTAGACTACGTCGTAGCCAATACCTGCGTATGGTAACTGCACAATAGTAATGACCAGGAGACACCAGACCATAAAAGTAAGCCCAAAAATGCGTATTCGAAAGAAATTCTCTTCATCGGAAATTAGGTCGAAAAGCAGCGCGAATAAGCAGTTGAGGGGTGAAATCAGGAATATGTTTGTAGAGTAGGATAGCGCAACAAGGAGTACGTTGCCGAATCGACTTACATCGCTTCCACTTGCTCCGAGCATAATCATGACCGTTACGGGAACCACTTGCAGACAGGCCAGAACAGTGACCTGTTCCATCCATTGGTCCTGTGACTCCTGTCTGTAGTACGGCCGTAGCTGATTGTCGACATCTTCCGCAGTCACCCGGCCCAAGGCGCATTCTGTCCGTCATGCTGACATCAAAAAACCCGACAACGACAACACGTTATCCAGTGCTTGCATTGGCGATGTGGTTGGGCTGTCCTTTGTAGGTTCTGCTGAGATTGTCACCCCCTCCGAAGACGGCAATTCTGTGTTGTGGGGCAAAGTCAATTGCGCAGTAAGAGGTCGCATTCTCTCAGACTCTGTAGGATTGGTTTCGGTCTGACGTTGTGGCATTCCATGAGTCTCCAAATGTGATTCTGATCCAAGGGCAGTCGAGATACCCAAGCCTGGAGTTCCCGTTACCGTATGTCTATTGACTACGATTGGTAATACCGTTGCCATTATCGGTCCAATTAGCAAGAACACAGGCATTATTTGCCCAAATTCCCACGAATTCTCATCGACTGTGACGGAGAGTCGCACGCCAATGATGCGCAGAGTTCCCCAAACAGTGGAAACAAATAGCCAGTAAACCTGGCAAAGGTATAACTCGTTACTGCTAACATCTTGGTAATACCTTGGAGTACCCATATTTCACAATTGAATACCTACATACATCTGAGAGCTCGGACGATATGAGATTAGCATAGAATCTGGCTGTCAAGTTTATCGCTACTCGGAGAAATAAGAAGAAGGTCCAAAATCGGGCTCTCCACCCTTTACGGGCCTTTTGTAACAGAGACGAAATGCTTCTTGTGTCAAGTTTGTTGACCCTTGACCTGGCATTCCTCCTCATAGCGACTGACCATTGTTGGATAATCTTGGCCATTCTTGGGAAGAGTGTGAATACGGTCAGCACGATTGACGTTACTGCGGACTGGAACGCCTCAGTTGAATTCCAAAGGCCAGCGCTAAAGTGGTCGGCTGCCACACATTCTGCAACCCTCTCAGCGGAGTCCTGAAAGCCTTCGTATTCATTTTCGCATGTTCTCCGTTGAATAGTTTTCAATGCCACCGGTGGATGGAAGAAGCAACGCGCGTTGGTGCTAGGTAAGCCTGGGTTGCATCCAATTCATCCATAGCGTAGGCCCAATCGCCACGAGAAGCAACATCCATAAGATGAGCATGAGTCCTAATCGCCATCTCCGCTCATTTTGGTGTTGGTGGAGGTAACCTCGCAAAAGAGTTAGACACGCTAGGTGTGTCAAATTCGAAAACCAAGCATGGTAAACAACCATATGCCAGTGGTAAGCAGATATAGCGTCGAGTCCAAGATTGATGTATCCGCTGAAAAGAATTGCCAAGCCCGTGAGGAGTTGTACATCGTATAAACTCAAGGCAGACTGCAGGTTGCATGAGCCAAACCAGAACGATCGATAAAGCGCCCTGGTACCCACCTTTCTCAGTGCGTCCTCCCATCTTGCCGGGCTTTCAAACCAGGAGCGTTGGCGTAACCATTGGAACGACTTCATTCCAATGACATGCTCATCAACCATGTTTGATTTTTGCCCGCTTGTGTCACCTGAGACAGGTGCGATGTCCTCATTGTTCGGGAAAGGATTCGCTTTGGGGTCGAACGCAATAACGTAACGTTCGAACGCAAGCAAAAACACGAACCATGCAGTGCAGATGAATCCAATCAAGACCTTGAATTTTAAAATAAGTATATGACCATGGCAGGTGGAATGCCGGTCTGGCGGTAAACTTACCCCGATACCCCCAACGTCGGGGTTCGGTTCCAGCTTCTCTGGCTTTGTGTAGCAGAGATTTTCTAGCTCTCCTAGGTACCCCATCTCATCAGGTGGGCGTTTCTGAATGCAGTTAGAATATCATGCGACAGATCGCCAAGATAATATATATCGGACCAGATGAGAAGAAAAAACGATGGTGGTACATGGTAGGATAAGTGACAGGAACATGATTTTGACGCGGCGGGAGGGTGTAGTGTATTATGTAGACTTTCGGGTACTTGGGAGCCTGGTCTGAAAGATGGCCTTAATTCTTGAAAGCCTGCTGATCATTCCTTGGCTGCAGCTGAAGGTGGTGTGGCATCAATCAGAGCTGAGGAAACCATGCATGATTACTTCAGGCTATGACAGCGGCTGCTGGACATGCAGCCAGTGAGAACCAGTAGCCAACATCTATCGACGCCCATTGTGATGCCATGAAATACGTTACATAACGTCCCTATGCGTGCGAGGCAATATATATGCACGGGCTTGTACGAGTATAGGCTGCGGTGCGACCTCATACTCAGACATCCCGTGAGGCAACACTCTCGGAGCCTTGTATGCTATTTCTTCAACTTTGAAGTTAACATCTTATTCCAATCGGTTTGCGTCGGTACTGAAAAGCAAGCGTGTTGAGCTCAGGTTCTAAACGCAACATCTTGGAAGTACTAATCGAAATCTCCGGATGGACAGTAAAGCGGTGGAAATGTTCTGGGCATCAACCACGCTCGATGGGACATAATTCACCGCAAACTTCGTTGACATCGCCAAATTTATTTATGCCTCTTTCATTTTACGATGCCCATTCACAGACTAGACACACTTTTCAAGATGCCAGACTCCTCATATTAGCTCTTATTGTCACATGTGGTTCGTTGCTAGGTATGCAGAAAGTATCAAATTTCCGCACATATCGGAGACGAAGCGGCTACGTAGCGACAGCATACTGCTCAAAGAACAAGATTCTATCTCCAAATAAGCAGTATTATGGACATTACAAGTAATCCAAAAAGCCAGAACGCCACATCAAAGGGCATTGAAAATACTGTGACGGATACGACATCGATTCCGAACAGAGCCCAGAGATATATGGGCATTCCCGGAACGTCCCGCCCGAGGCCACGCCCTTTTTTTATTGCAAAGCCCAGAAATATTGCACAAAAGCAGTTTAATGGCTGAATGATGACAACATTTGCTAGGAAAAGTAAGATATTTTCTGAATCCAAATCGGGATCAGCCGCAAAGATTCCGATGATGCCTATCTTCACGCCATGAAACGCAAGAAAGAAGGCGACAGTGACGGGAATTACCTGGGCACAGGCAAGCACGATTACCTGTTCCATGCACTTCGACTTGGTATAGTAATCTCTGAGGAGGCTTCTGAGGTTCTTGGCATCGATCATGCCTGTTTCTAGGGACTCGCTGCAGTGAGCGACAAGTAAATCTCGCATCTGTGTGTTGATGTCTGTCGTATCCATGTGCCGTGCTGATAAGAGTCCATTTAATTGCATTGCGCCAAAATCTGTCGATTCCACGTGTATGCGGGACACCTGGTTGAGAGGTTGAATATTGGTTTTCGAGTGTCTGTTATCAGGATCTGAGACCTCGCTCATAGTCGATCCTGTATCGTCGAGGCGAGTACTGATGGTCTCTGATAGATCCGTATTCAATTGTCTCCCAATTTGATTTTGGTTCTCCTCCGAGACATCTTCCTCGGACACCGTGCTTCCTTTCTCAGCCGTCTTCTTCATTGCCCCTAAGAAGGGCACGGCGAAAGCAACGACGGGTCCGATGAGGAGAAATACGGGAAGAATTTGACCAAAGCCCCACTTGTTCTCGTTGATGTCGACAGAGGCGCGAACTCGAAGCAGGCGCACCGTACCCCAAATAGCCAACGTAAATAGCCAATATGTCTAATAGAGTTGATTAGCATTGACAAGATTTCTATCATTCCGGTGGTCCTTACATCGACGAGTTCCGAGGAAAGGATGCTAAGGTACGTATACAGCATCAATCCCCATGAGATTCGAAGCAGAATACCGATGCGCCTCATCCTCGTGATGATGCTCCTTGCTGACCTTTTGCTCTGGGACTTCATCTGTTTAGCCGTTCGTACTAAGTACCAGTTGATAGTTTTGTCCAGAATCGACATCCGAGTCCGGAAGGACCAAGACCTGTTCATCTTCACCAGCCGGGTAAGAAAAGTAAAGATTGCCAGAATGACAGAGAGCATAGTTGTCTGGAACGACAGATGAGATTCCATAGGAATGTCCGTAGGTCCCCAGGTGTCGGAAGCCACGCATTCGTCTACTGTGTAGGTGACATTCCCCCTCTCCTTGTGGAGTTCGACTGATGCCTGACACGCTCTCCATTCCATGGTGTTCAGTGCTATGGATGGATAGTAAAAGCATCGCGCATTCGTTGTCGACACATCCCACGCCAGATGTTCTTCGGTTCCCATCCAGTCAAACCAAAAGGTTGGCCCGATCGCTACCAGGAGGCCCACCCATAAGACGAACATTAGGCTCAGGCGCCACCTTCGCTGGGTTGGGTGTCGGTGCAAATGTCCACGAAGAACAGTCATGCAAGCGACATGGGTGAGGTTTGAGAACCAGACGAGATATACGATGATGTACCAGTGGTATGCCGAAATGGTATCGATGAACAAGTTGACGTAGCCGCTTAGCAGGATACCAAATCCTGTCAATAGCTGAATGTCGCACATTTCGAGAACGGCCTGTGACAAATTAGACCATTGTGAGCTTTTATCAACAACCTATCTACAAGGCACATGGGGAAGGGGACTCCCTGTAGTCTTGAAGGACCTCTCACCTTCTCTAATATCCTCTCCCACAATCGTGGATTGCGAAACCATCGTCGCCGCCGCAGCCATCGACATCCCCTGACGGCTACCACATCCACGTGATTTGGCTTCCATGTGTGATCATCGACTTCGTTTGCTGACCGACTCTCGAAGGGGTTCTTATGAGGATCAAAAACCAGTAAAAGCCGGATGATCACCAACAGCACCACAAAATAAGCTGTTCCTACGAAGCCTATCAAAACCTTAGTTGGTCACGCGCGGCGTCAGTTATGATATCTCAGCTCTGTAGGCCAGTGACTTACCCCTATCCCGCCGATTTCCGGGTTGGCTTCAAGTTCAGCTGGTTTTTTGTAGCAGTCCTCGGCTGGGTCAAGTACTGACGGCATTGTTCTCTGGGCTTGAAAGGTTGTCATGAAAATCTGCCAGAGAGGCCGAACCTCAAAAATTGGGACAAGAAAGATGCATATATGCTTTACATTCTATGGCATTATACCATAAACGAATGAGACAATCTTGCGCCATGGCCGTTTTCGACACTCTAGTGGCTGGCGTGACCAGCCCCGTATGTAATGGGCTTTGAGCCTATTAACGGCTAAGCTATTAGTGGACATCAGTGGACATCCGGCAAGACATGCCGGTAGACAATTTTTCATCGGCAGTTTGCCCCGTCTGAAATCACCACATAGGGTTTGTGGCTAGCTGTAATACCACTACAATCAATTGGGTTTCCCAACGGGATCCTGTTCAGTACATTCCTCCAGCGGTATGAATTGCAATCGGATACCTTTGGTGGCCGGCAGGGATTTTACATTAGACAGCGTGATAACCCCCATCCACCACAAGATTTTCCCCAGATGTGTAAATTGACAAGTCAGAGGCAAAGTACAAGAAAGCACCCTGAAGTTCGTGCGCTTCTCCCTGCCGCCTGGGGATCTCATCAGTATTTGAAACTAGGAAGGAGTCAGAATCAACTTACCCCATAGGAACCTTGTCCTTCCATAATTCCTTAACGTCCTGGGGCACAAAAGTGGTGATGTCGGTGATGATGTACCACGGCGACACTGAGTTCGCTCTCGCAAACATCGCCCACTCCGCAGCAAGGCTCTTGCAAAGATGAATGACGCCCGCCTTGGCTGCGTTGTAACAGGCCTGGAACTGCGGGACATTCGCCAGCACACCAATAACAGAAGCCGTCGCAATGAAGCTTCCGCGATTGAAGTTGTCCAACGGCTTCCCAACAACATCGGTCCTTTCCAGCTTCTGGCGTCGCCAGTGCTTTGCAGCAGCTTTGGCGCAGTGGTACATACCGTCGAGGTCCGTTTGGATGACGTCTTTGTATTGTTCGAGGGGCACATCAATCATGGGGCCTTGGGTCCACGGGACACCGGAGCTGGCAACAAAGATGTCGAGACGACCGTTCAGATCTGCAACGGCTTGGTCGGTGGCCTTCTCCACGGCGTCCCACGACCTGACATCAACTTGATATGCCTTGCCTAAGATACGAGTTCAGACCAAAGTTTCCGTTTCTGCGCAATACTCAAAAGAGGGTGATCATTCGCTCTAGACGTAAGCTGATCCACTCACATTTGACTTTGTACTTCTCAGAAAGCTCTTCTGCCCTTTTCGGCGCCTCTTGGTTTGTATGGTACCATATGGCAATGTTGAATCCCATTTCTGCATATGCAACGGCCACCGAGTATCCGATTCCGCCACCTGCACCAGTGATAATAGCTGTCTTATTGGCAAGGGAAAGTCTGGACAATACAGAGCCACCGTCCAACTTCCGTTCATCGTCGTGAATGAAGTCGCCTCCATTCATAGGCTTGAGAGACCTCGACATGTTTTCCGCTTAGCTTTCAAAGATTGTGGCTGAAATTGACAGTGCAGCAAAGAGAGGCGCGGGAGAGATTCGTGCGTGCTACGGCATAAGGCAAAACGTCGAACTGACTACCTCATGTTGGGGTCCTAAATAAGTCATTCAAATAGGTATGGGAACTTTCTGGATTTCGGCCGCATGTCCATTAACCCGAGGGTCCTTGTTGGGATAAAATGACAGCGGCGTTCCTCGAAACAGCATCGTCGGCTGTAGCTAGCAACTTGTACCGAGGCTCTTCCAACTTCCTCCTACATAATCACAAGACTTAATGAGGAAATGATAATTCATGAAATTGTAGCCGAAATTAGGGCTTCTTTTGGTGTAAAAGCTTTCCATTTCCGGTTCTTGGTGTACGCATCCATTTCTGACTTCAACGTGGATGCTGTCGTGTCAGCTGGGCGCCGTCCCAGAATTGCTCCATTAGGAGATGACCGTCTCTTACCTCGCAAGGTATCGCGTTCTCGCTTTTTCAATTAGTAGTATTGCAGAGTCAAAGTACCAAATCACTGCTGATTTATTGTGACGTGTTATTGCTCTCGTTATCCAGAGCATCAACATTGAGCATCAACTTAGACGAAAGCGCACGATTTATCACAAACTTTCATCCAGAAACAACCGTTCGAGGTAATCCACACCAACGCCCAACAATGAACTCTGCTCTTTCCAGCTCCCATCGATGGGCTACATCGTTTTCTACACTCATGAAGCCCGCCATCCAATAGCGGAGGTCAATTCCATTCACAAACCAAACCCATATCCTTAGCTTCCAAGCAATGGCAACAGCTACCGGCATGGCGCGCTACAAGGGCAGGACTGTTACCTTGAACACAGGTCAGATCTTGCCTTCCATTGGTCTGGGGCCATTCCAAGACGCTGAAGAGCAAGAAATGTCTTATACACTGCTCTGAAGAACGGTTATCGCCACATCGACACAGCGCACAAGTAGGTTCATTTGCTTTGGCCAATTTTCTATGTTTCAGGACGGAAACTGATCCCTCTTACCTCCCAGCTATGGCACCGAACAGCAAGTTGGACGAGGGATTAGACGCAGCGGAGTGAGCCGCGACGAGATCTTCATAACAACCAAGCTCTGGTGCAACTCTCACCACCCGGATGACGTGGAGTCCGCCTTAGACGATTCTTTGAGGGACTTGGGCGTCGACTTCGTTGATCTATACCTTATGCAATACCCCTGTGCCTTCTGACTTTATGCCGATGGGGCCTGATGGGAAGATAATTCCCGACTCAACTGATTTCGTGGACACATGGAAAGCCATGGAGAAATTACTTTTAACTGGCAAAGTCAAAGCCATTGGCGTATCAAACTTCAGTAAGCTAGAATTGGAGCGAATCTTGAAGGAGTGTAGCGTCGTAAGTAAACGGAAATCCGTCATGCCGTCTGATTTACAGGCTATCATGGCGTCCCGCATCTTCCAATTCTGACTCGTTATCTCACAGGTTCCGGCTATCCACCAAACGGAGCTTCATCCCTGCCTACAGCAAAAAGGCTTCGTCGACTGGCAGGAAAGCAAGGGAATCAAGATCATGCAGTTCAGCCCCAGCGGCAATCTCAACACTTTCTATCGGGACGTATCCTGAGCCAAGGATGTGGCACAAATGGCTCGCTTGATTGATCACCCGATTCTTCAGGCGATCGCTGAGAAACACGGGAAGTCACCGATTCAGATTGCGTTGGCATGGGGTGTAGTGAATGGTCGCTGCGTCATCCCGAAGAGCACAATTGAGTGGCAGATCAAGGAGAATCTAGAGGCAGATTCTATTCCCCTAGACGAAGAAGACTCGCAGCAGATTGCAAAAATGGATCAACAAGCAAGGTTCAACGATCCCACTGAGTTGTTTGGTTACAAGCTTTATGTTGGGCTTGATGGTGCCGCGCGATAATAGCGTTCTCAAAGGCTCAGACAAGGAAGTCAGGAAAATGCCTCACATGGTGCTGAGAATCCCAAGTTGCAAGTTTATTTTAGACTCGTGCCCCCGTTGTTGGTTGTCGAAATCCCACTGCTCCTACTATTGTTGCATTATGAAATATACAAGATGAAATCATCCAGCCGCCCCTCTTTACTCAGCACTGCGATTTTGCCGACTTTCTTCCTGCTCAACGACTCCCATTCCTCACACATCTTGCTCATTGTGTAGTAAAACTCTGCCTTGATCAAATCGCTCCAGCCAGTGCCGTTCTCTTCCACCGTGAAGTCGGTTGGGGCTTTGATCCCAGTGGATATCCGAGCATCCTTAATGGCATCTATCGTGCCCTGATTTGACACCTCCCTGATCTGAAGCGAGGTGAGGTCCGAGAGAGACATGCCGGCCCGAATCCAAATGAAGACCATGATGTCACGCAACTTGAGTCTCGGCCGCGAGTCATACCACGCGTTATAGGCCTCTTCGATGATGATGCGCCCACGGCTTTTGTCTATGAGAAATGTGTCGAGGCGCTGGCTGTTGCGGTGAACTTCCCACGTATCATCGTACTGTTCTACGGTGTAGCCGTAGTCGTCGAGCTCGTCACACCAGACGAGGGAGATAAAGCTTAAGAGGATGATGAGATGATAATATATAGATTTCATGCTCGCGATCCGCATGATATGAGTGGTTTTCCAATAGGGGATAGTGAACAGCGAATTCTGTTCTTGTTTTTTGGGGTGGGCGGAAGTGAGGAAACAATGCTAGTACCGCAACCAGGTTCAAAAATTGGCAAGTAACAGCTTTTAAGATAGCTACCTAGATATTCGGCGGATCGACCAGAAGGCTGGTCGCAATCATTGTGCCGAAGCTGTCGTAAACAAAGTCTTTAACCCGACAAACTATCGGCGCGATCGAGTATGAAACTTCAATTTCAGTGGGGTTTTTCATCAACCGCAACTTTAAAGTTCCAGCGGGGTTCGCAGCCCAGTCGTCGCGCTGCGCAATCAGGGACTTTGAGGGCTGAGATGCCTATGCAATAGTCAGTACCCTGTCCATCTTATGGAGGACTCAATAAAGTGAGCTCTGTGGTGGACAGTGGTGCCCCAATATCTTAAAGCCAGCTCAACTAACGGAGAATTTTGATTTAACCAAAATTTAAGGGCCACTGTACTTATTCATGCGACATCTCAGCGGAAATTACCGACGGCAGGCGGCGGGATGGCGCGATCCTACGCAGGCAATTAATTTATTTCCAACTTTATTGTAGAGACGCTCTTCGCCATCAATTGCCATTCTACTCGGAGTCGGTAACCCTTTAGCGGTAGTCTTGGCGTAAGGAAATGAACCTTTTGTTGGCTATGCCTTCCTCTGGACCCAGACTTCAGCAAATACTTTTGATGTGCCCCCAACATTAAAACATTCTTTTTCTTTGACTGACCCATCATGGTTCTCCGCTGAAAACGAACTTGAGTTAGCACCGTCGAGTCCATAAGCGAGATGTCTTTACAACTCAGAATATTAGTCCTCAGTCTCTTCCTGGCGGTCGCTGCTGCGGCCGGCGATGTTTGGAGCAAGTGGAAGAACCATAACGATATTGTCGGGTTTCCTCAACCCCAGGCTTCAAATTATGAGCAAAACAAAACTCGGTTGTTCAAGCCCAGGCTTCACGTTTGGGGCGGATGTCTTCCCTACCCAGCCGTAGACTCACAAGGCTACCTCGGGTGAGTCTTCTCACCCCATCTCCATCTACCTCCTCTCAAGACAAACTCTTGTATCCAAGCGGCGCATTCTAACAAACACATCCTTTCAAAGGTCTGGGCTCAAACCAACAGGCAAGAAAAGCGGCGACTATTGGGACACCAGTCAATCCGGCCAGATCTACGCCCGAACGGGCTCCATTCATGGCCGAGATGCCATCATGTACGCCTGGTACGAGCCCAAAGTTCGTTGGGCCAAGGGCAACAGCAACGGCCACAGGCACTATTGGCGCAACGTCGTCGTCTGGCTGACCCAGAATGGATGCGACTTTGACAACGTCGCCGAGCTCGCGATGGCTGGCATCAGCTACTCTATCGACGTCGAGGCCTACGATACCTCGATCTCTGGCAAGACGATCTGGACAGGTGGAGATGGCATGAGTCCCACCGTGACAGACGGGATACATACGCATCCGCTGGTGTCATCATGGGGGAACAAGAACTTGGGGCCGTCGGACGTCGGTCTAGAGGGCACGTTTTCGCAGCCCCTTATCGACTGGGCGTCGCTGAGCCAGCCTGCCCGGGATGCACTGAACGGCGTCATTTACGAGCACACAAAGGTCCTCTTCAGCGACGCCAACATTCAGGGCGCTCTTGATGCTGCTTACAATGCTGCATTCTACCATGGTCTTGTCTTGGACGACTGCGGTGATGATCGGGAGCCGGTGAACCAAGGCGACGGCAAGAATGAGCCGTTATCAGCTATGAACGATAAGGAAGACACAGGTAAATCACGTCTTAGACGGCGTTTGCGTTAGCTACACCTAGATCGCTGCTAGTTTCATACCCAACTAATTCCTGGTACTTATATAATACCATTAATGAAATCGAGTACACCTGAGATATTGAGGCGGCTACTCAGCACGTAGTACGCGTTCTTACAGTCGCCGCGATTAGCTCCTGTCGACGCACAAAAGGGTATCTCTGAATACAAATTGTACATTAGGAGACAGTTCTTCTTCCGTCACTGCGCCAGCCTGCGTTCATATTTACATCGTCGAGCTATCAACATTGACAGGCCAACAGACGTGACGGAGAGATGGAGGAGGCGTTACTATAGAGACCGGACATTTAATATCAAGCCTCGGAGCGCGACGGGGGAAAGTTTCAGTATTTAATGGCTAACTGTCCTTTCCACTCATGCTTTACCAGTTGACGCTACCACGTCCATGTAGTAACTAGTCCTCTGCGCGACTATTTCAGTACCCTGTTCAAGGAGATCGGTGAAGGGGATTCTGTTAATGTTCTTCTCGATATGCTCATAGTATCCCTCCAGTACGTCCCGATTTATGTTGACCTTGGTGATTCCAGATGCTACCAGCTGTTGGGTAAGATCGTCAGGAAACTTGTTGAATCCATGAAGCGCAAGAACGACACCTCCTTTTGACGTGACTCGATGAATATTAGCAAGCCTACCATGTAAATAAATCATTACGTCAGTAATTCTTGTGCAATGAATGTTGAGTATTCACCCAACTTCATCGACTGTGGCATGCATGCTTTTCGTGAAGACGGACTCTAGGAAACGGGTCAACCAACCTATCCCACTCCAGAATGATACCTCTCGGTCCGTATTCTCCGTGAACATTTCCGAATGCCGGCGCCAGACTTCCAACACCCGTGTCAACAAAATTCTGCGCCTCCTCGAGCGTTGTCATCTCTCCACTTAAATCCGCTGTATCCGAGATGCCGTCCTCGCCTCCCTCTATCCGCCCTGGTTCCGCCTCAGTGGCTTTCCCTTTCGAATGACAATACTCGACCCACTCCCTCGTCTTGGCCAGATTGATTGCCTTCGAGTGATGCGATATGTCAACCATGATTGAGTCGAAAGGGAGTTCGCAGGCCATTTTCACCATATCCTCATCTTGACAGTGGTCGAGATGCACAGCGATGGGCACAGTAGCCTGCTTGGCTGCTTGGGCAGCTGTATGTACAAGGACACCGTTTGAGAAGGAAATCGACCATGGGAAAAGCTGGATTATGAGAGGTGACCTCTTTCTCTCGGCAGCTCGAGCGACCCCTATGATTTGCTCCACGTTGTATCTGAAGGATCATGTCAGTAAAGCTTTGCCTCTTCTGCTATTGCTTTTGATAATCTGATCATACACTGTTGCAGCAAGGACTCCATAACGTCCTTCGGCTGCTTTGCGCAGGATGTCAAGGGCCTTGTTTGCTTTGAGGATGTTGGACGCGGGCACATTTAGTTCTGGCGTGCAGTTACTTAGGACTCGAGATGGATCAACGCAACAGAATTATTCAAGAACTTTACATTGAATTTCAATTCGTTCACGTCACTGTTTGTCTTGTGCGGGAGTGCATTGCTAGGTGATGGGAAGAAACACGGGATGGTAGCCCAAAAACGGTGATCCGAGACTCCTCGCCACTCAATTTGGCCAAGGCACCATTCATGTAACAACAACTCGACGACAGCCTTTCAATTTACTCCTATGGAAATTTTGTCGCAACGTTGTTCGCACTTTGCCAACTCTTTACAAGTAAGTTGTTAACTGCATTGAGTAATACCCGTACCGGCCACGGCCCACATGATCGACGTGACGCTTCCGAATGGAGCAATTAGGAGTGCGGCCTCCCGACGTCTTGGCTTTGAGCTGACAGCAAGCATTGCCCTTTCCTGGAAAGTGTTGGGACGCAAGTAAGCAAACAAGGAAAAACGTGATTTCTCGACACAGTACTGTATCCAATTCAAACAAAGTGTCCTCGGGTCGTAAAATCATGGGAATAATTGAATGCACCCGTTGATATGGTGATGCTCTGGATGTGTCATTAATCTTGCATTGCGATAGAACTCAAGACTATATTCAGCTAGTCAGAGATTTCAAGATGGCTCAACCGGAAGTCGGCTTTTTAGGCCTAGGTGCTATGGGGGGGGCGGGATGGCCAAACAACTCGTCAAAAAGGGCTTTTCTGTGAGTTGCTACGACGTCTACCCCCTGTCTGTTGCGAAGCTTGTTGAAGCTGGCGCTAGAGCTGCTGGCAGCCCTGCAGAAACCGCCCGAGCTGCCGAGGTTCTGGTCATCATGATGGTAGGCCCCTCACAGGCATTATCTGTTCTTTTTGATGAGGCAACCGGTGCAGTTCATGGACTGCGACGGGATTCCATTGTCATTATTACGTCTACCGTCCCGCCCGAATTCTGCGAGGAGCTGCGATGCCGGTTGCATGAGGAGTTTGGTCGCCGAGACGTTACACTGCTGGATTGTCCCGTTTCAGGGGGAACAACCGGTGCGGCTGCAGGTACCTTGACCATTTTCAGCTCTGGGTCCGACGATGGCTTGGATAGAACTCGACCAGTGCTGGAGGGGATGAGTACTAAGCTGTACAGAATCCCTGGGGGCATCGGGTCCGGCCCCAAGGCTAAGATGTGCCATCAGATTCCTGCGGAGGTTCAGATCGCGCTCTGCAATGAGGTGATGGCTTTCGCGGCGAGAGCTGGTTTGAACACGCGAGAAGTGTTCGATGCAGTTCAGAATAGCGACGGCTGAAGTTGGATCAAAGGAAACCGGATTCCGCATATGTTGGACGGAGACAGCGGGGTCTGTTCTGCACTTCCAAACAGTCTAAAGGACTCGGTCAGTATCTACCACATGCAATTATCACAACTAATTGAAGCTGACTTGCTCGCAATTTAGTCGATTATCGTCAACCATTCCCGCGTAGTCTCGTTCCCCGTATTCCTCAGCGCCGCGGCAGAATAAGTATTCGAGGCAGGGATTCACGCGGGATGGACAAAGCAGGATGACTCGACTCTATGGCGGCTCTATCTCTCTCAATACCCCGAGGACACGATTCATCAAATGACCAACCCTGGTTGCACTCTGATTGCCCGCCACGATATCGTTTCTATCCAAGACGTTATCGACGTATGCGCTGGCAGTCATCTTACTATATCCGCTGAAACCATGGGCTTCACCGACGCGGTTGGGCTTGACACGTCTGTCATGTATAAAATCTTCAGTCAAGCAGCTGGCGCAAGCACACAATTCATTGAGCAGGTCCCCAAGATGAGCAGTCCGAGCTGGTCTCTCCACGACGTTTCGGAGGCCGAGGGAATTCTCAAAAGAATGGCAAGTTCTCCTGGCCCCATCCTAGTGGTTTTCGAATGACAGACTGTTGGCTTGTAGTTCGACTCACTGACTGCGGTTCAGGATTCGGCCATGGTCAAGGCGGTTTCAATAAGCGCGGTAATGCCCATTGCCGGAGTGGCTCTTCAGATATTGAAGCAACACCTGCAGTAGTATTCAAATACAGGACTCTCTTGTTCATTACAGTGACTAGTCTTCAGTCGTAATCGGTATGCTATATCGATTGACAAGTCCCGTGTCATTTATTGTCGCCACTCTGCTCAAATCATCTTCTCCGTTCCCTTTGTCAGTTCCGGTCTCGAAGTCTCCAAAGTGGCCGTACATGCTTGCTTGCCGCTTGCGCTCCAAAGATTTAGCTCCCGCGAAATAAATTAACTGCTCTTGGAGGATCTGGCACAGAAACTGGAAGTCTGCATGAGACGTCAAGTTGAAGAATGAACTGCCAAGCAAACCAGAAAACGCCCCCTCCAAGTCCACCGCGCTGTTGGCTTCCAACACTGCAGAAGCAGCGATGAAAAAAACAATGGTATGTAAAGGGTGACGTGAGATAACTTATTTTAGCGACTTCTCTCGCGATGGACACGATCTGCATCACCTTTTGACACGCCACTTTGGTGATGCTCGGTTGAAGCTCAATCTGTGATAGCCTCCGCGCTGTGTTTTGTTGGCTTTGTGAGATGCAATGGTTCGTCTGTGGATGTGAGCCCTGGGTTGACTGCGGATTCTGTCTCGAGTCCCGAGATGAGGTGTCAGATAGGAACGTAACAATGATGTAGAAGAACAGGTGCATAGTGAGGAACAAGCCAGACTGGGCACTAGAAGACGAGGCTTTCAAGTTCTCAACGTTGAACATGAGTTCTTTGGGGAGCATATTGTAACGCACAATCATGGACTCTCTGATCCGCACGAGAACCGCTTCTCTAGAGGAATTCAGTCCAGTTGCTGCATCAACAGTTTCATGATGTGCAGAGTGGCCCTCGCTCGGGCTAGCTTGGTTCAGTAGCTCCGTTGCCTCCGAAACGTCTAACATAAAGTCCACTGCGAGAGGAAACATCATGTTCGCTATGGAGATTTCTTCTGTTAGGTCCAACTGTGCTAACTTCATGTCCTGGTACGAAGGCACCGGGGCATGCACTTCACTCTGCCTAAAAGTAGGCTGTCGTCCTGTTGTCAAGGAAGCATAGACGTCCAGGATGAACACTGACCAAAACATGACAAGTCGAGCCTTCTGCTGATGGAGAGCTGATTTCTCGTTCGTCAGGGCGTAGATCCTGTCAGGAGAAGGTCGTGCATGATCATGAAAAATCAGGTTTGGGTCGGTGTCCGTCTCGGTGGTGCGATGAAACCCAAGGTCTTGTGCCATGCGGATTGCCATACCAGCAAACATCCAAAGGCCGGCTTCGTTGTCTTCACCGAATTCTGCCCATGAGAGCAGCACTAAGCCTGCTACAATTTCAGGCTCTGGGACACTCAGAAGAGGTACTAGCTGTTCCTTGGCCTTGGCTAAGAAAGGCAGACCGTTTCGCCAAGGTAAGTTCTGTTTCTCTTCGAGTATTACCAGTGGGCTATCAGTTGGACAGAAGCGCAAGGCAAGGGCGGCTATCGCGTTGAGAAGGAAGCTCGATGCCACTTCAGAACGCACATGAGTTTCTAAAACTGCGCGGTTCAAGAAGGGGAAATGACCTCCAAGGTGTTCGAAGAAGATGTCGAAAAGCTAAGGTATGATTCTTTGGTGAGGCTGTCGGCCCGAGTCGTCGAAAAGGTGTATTCCGCCCTGTGGTGATGAAGTCGAAGAGGCAGTATACCATGGAGGATTCCTAGTGTTTTCGTTGCACGTGGTGTCTTTGTCGGTATCGAATTGCTCTTCTTCTCCAGAGTTCACTATGAGAGCCAATCTCCTCAGACCAGGAGAAAGAGCTGTAGGCCCAAATCTTCTGTAGCATCGGATCCTCATCAAACTCTGCGTTCTCTTGCCCAACAACTCCTTGGGAGTGTTCAGGCTGAGGCTTGGGCCAAATGAAAATGTTGAGCAATCTTTCGGCCACTCATCTGGAATTCCAAAGTCGAATACTAAGTCTTGAAGCTCAGAATACGTTTGAGGAGACCGAGCAGTCTCGACTTCGCAGATCTCCGGACGAATTGCTTGCGATGTAAATGAGGCCGGGTCTCCATTTTCGTTTGACAGAGACTGCAAGGAAAACGTGCCTAGACCAAACGCCTCGGCCATCATTCCGACTGACGGAGTTGCCAAAGAAACATGCTGCCCGTTCGCATCTTCCCGAAAGTCGAAGTCGAAAATTTGTCTTCCCCGCGTATCTGGAGATGGCGAATGCTCTTTTGGGGACCTCGCGATTGGCGCATGATTGTCCTCGCCATCGACGCTTTCAACGGCTTCACCAGGTACAACTCTTTGACGTCTGCGGCGATCCACAAGGTCCCATCGGCATTCTAGGTTGGCTTCCTCACATGGTTGACACCTCGGGCGCCGTTTGGGATTGCGGCGATGAGACCTAGTGTCGTAGACGCCATTCCCCTGATCACTTTCGGAGCATTTGATCTTGCGAAGATGGCACATTCGACATGCTGTGGACGTTTGGCCAGACCTTCGTTTCTCGCGGTTCCGCTGTTCTCGGAGGTGAAAATCATCCGCAGTACAGACTCTGAACGTGGCGGCCTTGGCGCCCCGATTGCGCATCGGCGGGCGGCGCGGAGCGGACTGCTACGCAGAGGAGCTTTCCATAACTGGCAAGTTGATACTTTCCAATATCGTCTGACTGGTACCTCTGAAAAGTTTCCATATGAGATTTGAAGAGTTGATGCCGAAGAGGGACAGAAAGTGCCTGTCACGGGATTATGCCCGGGTGTAGCTTCGGCCCTGTTCAATCCTTGGCAAGAACCCCGCATGACGGCGGAGACGCGAAAGTTCCGCCCCCTCAGCATTGCAGAAATTATCGGGATTACCATTTCGGGTAATTTTGATGATCTGCAACTGACGATGGATGCTACTCCACACTGGCGTTCAACTACAATCCGGGGTAGCGGAAACACCCCCGTGGGGATGGATGTAGGTTAAACGTCAACGCAGCTGCGGCTGTGAACCCTATATGATAAAGTGATGTGAGTAGTTATCTGCCCAGATCGACGTTGTCTACCAACTTGTCTCTCTGTTGTTGGTTTTTTTTTTTTTGAACCGTACCACAAGTCAAGCTGTTTAGCACACGCAAGTCTCTATGAAGATGCGGTCTTGGTTGGGAAGAGGCAAAAGTCTTCAGCTTGGTGTGAACGCCTGCTGTGTGATTGCATTTATTCTCTATGGCTGGGAACAAGGAGTTTTCGGGCCGATTCTGAAGAACGAAGATTGGCTTGATCTATTCAACCACCCATCTGACTCGGCAACTGGTATCATCGTTTCCTGCTACAATCTTGGCTGTCTGTTAGGCTGCGCCAGTAAGAAATCCCCGGCTTTTGGTTGACTTCAGTTTGACTCGTCCGCTGTTGGAGCTAACACAGCTCACGCCCAGTGACATTCCTCTTTGGCGAAAGGTTGGGACGAAGATGGACGATCTGGATAGCCATGAGCCAGATTGTGATTGGCACAGCCCTGCAGGTCTCAGCATATCACATCGCTCACCTTATCGTTGGACGCGTCGTCACCGGGACGGGAACTGGTCTCAAGACGTCGACCGTTCCAATGTTGGTCTTGCTTTGCTATCGCCTTATCCTGGAACTCTTCTAACGTCGCCAAAGGTATCAATCAGAACTTTGCCCACCGACCACGAGGAGCCGTCTTGTCAGCGCCGATGTCATGTTTGTTGGAGTGCGCTTTCAGCCCAAAAGTATGACACTCTTTCCTTTCCGCTGACTTCTCCGAAAGATCGGCATCAACATTGCCTACTGGTTCAAGTTTGGCATGAGCTACGTCGGAGGCCCCGTCGCGTGGTGTCTTCCGATCTCTATACAAGCACTCTTCGCAATCGGAGTGATATTTCTCGTGTTCGCATTACCCGAGTCCCCTCGATGGCTTTTCAATCATGGAAGGCAGGAGGAAGCCATTGAAGTACTCTGTTTGATCTACGACAAAGACCCCGCCGATCCTGTCATTCTCACCGAGCGCTCCGCGATACAGCAGGCAATTGCACTCGAGTTGATTGGAACTCAACAGGGCCAGATATTCTTCTCCATCTTCAAGCGGGACCGCGTGCGAACAAGATATCGGATACTCTTAGCTTGGTTCATTCAGTTTATGAACCAGGCCAGCGGTATCAACCTAGTCGTCTATTACATTCCTGTTGTTCTCCAAGACAGCGTGGGTTTGACTGGCCGAACGAGTTCGATTCTGGGTGGGTTCATCCTCCTGATGTTTGTGCTGGGACGAATCTGGCCCTCTCTAGCCCTTGACCGAATGGGACGTCGCAAAACAATGATGGTAAGCAGCAACAACCCTTTTACTTTCCGATGACCCACCTCTTTCCTGGCGCAACTTTAGAATTGAGAGTCCGGGTTAACACCAGGGTAGTGGGGATGCGGCGTTCTCGGCGTCTCCATGCTCTTCATTGCCTGTCTTCTTTCACAGGCAGACAAGGAGACAGCCCGCGGCCAGAAATTCGCCATAGCCTCGGTGGCTTTCTTCTTCGTCTACATGCTTGGATTTGGTTCTTCGTAAGGATCTCCCCGTCGCTCTAGATTTATATTTGTCTGCGTTATGGTCTTTGTCGTACGTCTGCCATACTCTGCAGAGCCACTAACACTTTCTGGGGTCAGTTGCGTTCCTTGGGTTTATGTACAAGAGATTCTTCCTCTGGAGGCACGAACACGTGGTACGGCAATAGGCGTGAGCAGTAATTGGCTTTGGAACTCCACGGTTGCGATGATTACCCCGGTAATTCTCAATCGCCTTGGCAGGAAGGCCTACCTTATCTTTACGGCCACTAACCTTGCTTCGATTCCTTTTGTTTATTTCTTGTACCGTAGGTGCATCACTTCCTCAGATCCCACCTGCAACCCACTGACGAGCATATTAGCCGAGACAAGCAACTTAAGGCTAGAGGATGTCGACTTCATCTTCTCAAGTGGTGGTGATCCAGTCATTGTTGCAAAGGAACTTCAGAGTACTATGAAAACTGGCCTTTTCGCATGCGACGGCAACAGCGGTGAGGCCGGGGTTATTCCCGTGCGGCAGGATAACGAGAACAAGAAGTTGGGGACGGTATGAAGCGAACCTATCGTCACGATCCATGCTTCTACCATCAAAAGGTGTCAAATGGGTTTGTAATTCAATGCATTTTATGTAAACAATTGTGCAGTCACCTTCTAGCTTATAATTTACCAGTATTTTGACCAGGAAGAAGACAACATTGTAGATTTGTTCAAATGTAAATAGAGGGAAAGCTCAAAAGACAAAGTTCATTCTGTCTTTGGCAGCGTCCCTAACGGTAATACCTCCAATATGGATGGTTCTCCATTTGGCCTCCCTCGTCAAAGTCAATCACTACATCCTCGGGAGGCTTTCCGAACTCTCGATCTCTCCGTCTGTTCTCCCTAATCGTCATAATTGTCATGAAGGCGCTACCACCACCGGTCCAACATGTGGCTGCGAAAAGTGTCCAGAATCCCTTTTTGTAGGCCGGACCATCTGTTGACTGGAACAGATATCCAGTGGCAATGCCCATGGTACTTCCGAAGGACTGAAACAGTCCAGATGCGATTCCTTTCTTGATATCCCCACAGCAATTGCTTGTAATATTACCAACACTCAATGTGACCCCCGACAGGATTCCAGTCAAGATCAAGAACGTCGCACCGTATCTTGCGCTCGCTGCCGTGTGCGGTAGGACGGCCAGTAAGAGATCTCCAGTAGCCGCGACGATAGAACAGATGACCAGCAGCCCCGAGCAAGACTTCAGTCTGTCACTCGCGTATCCAACAACAAACACCATCACAAAGGCGACGCAGTAAGGCGGTGCTACCATCAGTTGAGCTTTGATGTTGTCGTATCCAAAGGTTGCGACGATGATGGGGGTAAAGGTCGCAATCGTGTAGGTCTGAAGGACCTGGCCCATGTAGATGAATATGTTCATCCACAGTCTCCAGTCACGGAGTTGATTTAGGGTAGTCTTCCAATTGATCTTGCCGTGAGTCCTGTTACCATCCTGCATCATCCGCCAGGTAGCGACGTCGCGCTCTCGAGGTGTAAGCCACTTTGTGTTGTGCGGGCGATCCGGAAGAACCCAGACACAAAGTAGACCGATGAGAATAGTGAGCAGACCCTCGATGAGGAACAGAGCTTGCCAATGTTTCACGCTCGGGTTCGAAATGTTCGCAACTCCGTATGCCACCCATCCTCCAAAGGCACCAGCCAAGGGTGTTGCCGAAAGGTAGATGCTGATGCGACGGCCCCATTCCTGTGCCACGTTAAGCGATGTCCAAATTCGACGGTTATTGAGGGTAACATACCGCTCTTGGATAGAGTACTGTCGTGAGATATGGAGCACCACTGATGAAACATGCTTCAAAGATGCCCAAAAAGAACCTAATGGCATACATGCCACCTGGACTGCCTGCGACCGCTTGTAAAGTTGCAAAGACTCCCCAGATGATCTAGCTGCTCGTCAGCACAAGAAAAATGGAAGAGTCCTTCTCTTTCTGTAATGAATCTTACCATAGCTGTCGCCAAGTATAGGGATGGCCGGATGTATCGCATTCCGATGTTCGTAAACAGATCAGCGATGCATGTTCCCACAAAGAACATGCTGACAGCTAATGAGAACTGCTTGGGAGAAAACCCGAGATCCTCACGAATCCCCATCAAGGCTGCGTTACCCAGAGCCCCACGATCCAACCATGTGAACATGTACAGAACCTGATCCGCCATTAAACACATCGTCACCAGGATCAAGAAGTTCTATCCACTTACCAGAAGGAAGGGAGGTAGTCGCATGTCAATCTTTCTCCTCACTGCTTTAACTTCCTCCGGCGTCACGGGAGGATCAAGGTTGTTCATGCGAGCCACGATGTCGTCCTCATCAATCGGACTCGGTACACTTTTTACACCAGCTCGCCCTCCCTCTTCATCCTCTGACACACTCTTGTGGCCGAGGGCCGTCGCATTGGATTTAGTGTCTGGCATCTCAACTCGACGCATATATGGTAGAGTCTTTAAGAAATATTCTTTGAATTAGGGGAAAGAAAAGACACTCTAGTGAAAATTATGGCTTGGAAAAAAAGCTGTTGGGCAAGTCAATGTGGTATTTCTCGGCTGTATGTCGTCACTTTTCCGTTGGGCTCGCGGTCTCGAGCCTTTGTGGTCAATAGCCGTTGGGCCACCTGCTCCCCCGCTCGTTAGGAGCTGCAGCAAGCCGATGCCGCAAACTTGGCGCACAGGAACAACAGTGAGCTTGATTCGCACGATGAGCCCCAATCTGTATCCACGAGTGTTGTTTGGGTTACAACGTCGATCACTTCCGTTCAGTCTGCCACGTGCTTGAGCGGGGAAAGCGGCCGGAACCAAGCGAAGTCATTCCGAAAGGTTGGCCGCCGGTGGCAGTCGGCGGTCATCAGCCCGATTTTACGAGCTTCGGCTATCGACCCGAAAATCGCATGTGTACCTAAGCATCCGAATGACGGAAGTCCGCGTTTTATAAATAACACTTGATTGCATATTCGAGCTTGTCGTCATTGCGACCGGCCCGGTCTTGATTTCCAGAATAGTGACTCCGTCTTGCTTTTACGTATTTAATAATAGGGCATTTCGTATTGGTCGGCGCCTTTGATCTGAGGCCCCTGGCACCCCACGCCGGCTCGGGCCCGGACCCCGCTAATGAGCCCCTCAGATTTACGCCGAATGCGCCGGGGCTTGTCGAGTGCGCCGCTTGTCGCCACGAGACTGTCTATGAGTCAACTGGGGCTCCCAATCTTGGCTTCATACCTTATGACTGCTTTCTGAATCTCATTTGAATTACGTTGAGTCGTGATCACGAAAGCCGGTAGTCATGGGCGACGTAGCAACGGGGCAAGGGGCTTCGGTCGTTTATATGATATTGTGAATGATTCTGAATTGTTAACTAATCTCCAATCCAAAATTTATGTATTTCATTGCTTCGCCTTTGCCTTAAGCTCTCCACGTTCCTTCACCATGTCGGCGATGCCGTCACCCAAATCAGTACCCAGTGCCTTGAATCCCTTGATAACGCCTTCACGATCTCCGTCACCCAGCTCCTGGCTCATCTTGAACTTTCCTCCAAGCCTATCGATCGTGATCTCAATGCCGATGATTGCCATCTTAGATAGCTCGATATAGCGTTCCGGCGCATCAGAAACTTTCCAAGGCCCTGACCGGTCGCCTTTGCCCGTGTAGCCCATTATTGAGGTCTCGCCCATACGAGAGAGGTCGTCAATCTGTTTTCCCAAGAACTTCTGAGTTTCCTCGGTCTTAGATTCGTAGAAAATCTTTGCCCTCCCATAAGCCTGAACAGCAGCATAGTTCCAGGTCGGCACGACCTTTGCTGTTGTCGGTTTGGTTTCGGTGTAGAACTTCGGTGTGACGTAGTGGTGTGTAGGCGCGGTGAAGAGGACCATGACCTCCTGGTCAAGGACATTCCCGGTTCCCGTACGGCCTTCGGCCGACAATGACTCGATTATGGCTTTGCTCTGCGGGTTCGCGCGTGCAAGGTGGCCTCGTAGGACGCCGAGCTCGGTTTCGCTGCTGTCGTCTTCGACATCGAGAACCCAAGGGATGTGGCTGGACTGGATTAGAGGGTATGTGGGAGAAGAAATCGCTGTGGTGAGGATGCCGAGGGGAAAGTCGCGGATGAGCTTGCGCAGTGCAGGTATGCTCTGCTCAGCGTGAACAGCGCGGAGATACATGCTGTGCGTGAATGATAGGTAACTCTGAATCTAACAGAGTGAAAGATTTTATCGAGTGTTTTAAAGGGTTGAAAGGAGACAATGCTCTCAAAAGAAGGCTAATAAGCGATTCATGCCACTCTAGCGGATTGCCTCGGGCCCGCTGATTTTAATAGCGCCCGGATGCTTGCTCTAACACAGGCGCCATGTTTTCGAAAGGGCGCGCGGTCCACTAATTATGGTTCTGTCGGTTTAACTGACTTGGGTATCTTTCGCCTGGCTGTTAGCATGTTTGAGCGCCTCCAATCGATCATTTTACGTACGCGTACAACGGCATTGGTTAAGCTGTTGCAGATGACCAAAGATGACACCGCTCGCAGCTGAGTGGCTGCTGCATTAGAGCGATTGAAGTAATTTCTAGTTACAGCAATTCAATCATCAATACATTGGATAAACCTCTTGTTGGAGCAGGATGCAATGCATCTATCTTCCGAAGGATGCAGATAACTCCGCGGAGGCTATCTTCGCTATCTCTGAAGTGGCTTTCTGGTTGGTCGGTCACGCATGCTTATCCACGTACTCATCTCGCGAGGCTGCCCGCAAAGCTCTTGCCAGAGAGCAAACCGAGGCCTGCTTGCGCGCAATTCCCTCTCCGGCAACTCCAGGAACGGATGCGGGAGTGGATGCGGGAACTTTGCCGCTTCTCCGCCGCTCGTAACCGGCCCGGTGGTGGATCCCGGTCCCACCAGCGGCCGAAGCGGCATGGTTTCCGCCGGTCGGATCGATGCGGCAGCAACGATCAACCTCTGTTAAAGGCGCTATGAACATCCTTACTGTGAACTTCAAAATGTGAGAAGAATCCAAGATGAGAACAGGTAAACGATTAAGTAAGTTCAAGCACGAAGCACGGGAATAACATTGCATCAGAACTCGCTTGATTGTTTCGTATCATTTGTGTCATTATCAATTACAGCCCAGTTCTCAATTGATATGGTGGTCTGCCCGTCCCAGACGCTTGATATTGGATTTCATAGCATCCGGGGTGATCAGTTCACCCTAGAGATCTTGAATCCTCCAGGAATCCTCTTCTGGAAAACGCCTTCGGGGTCATACTGGGATGCAACACTGCGAATGAAGTTAATGTTCGCGTCGCCATAGGTCTTGATGGGGTCCTGGCTAGGATCGGCGTAGTTGAGGTAGCGCCAGTTCACGTTGCCATCAACGGAGACAGCAAAGTCCTCGATTCTTACAGCTGCTGCAGCCATGTGGGCCCGAGCAACGGCTTCCTGGGCCTCAGTCTTGATAGTCACGAGGCCGAGCCACAGAATGGCGTTGTCAGCCTCAGAGTCAAGGCCTAGGACATTTCCGCCGCGCGAGCTGCCAATCTTGGCGAAGTAGGTCGGGAGCGGTTGGAAGACCATCTGAGTGGTAAACTCGTCGGCGCCGACAGCAGCCTTCATGGTGTCAACGAAGACTTGGTGAGCATCGACGGCCTCCTTGAGGATGGATGCGTCGTTCTTGAAGGTCAAAGTGAACCAGACGCTCCTGTGAATATCGATGGTTAGCGCTCCCTAATGGTTTATCGATGGATATGGATGAACCTACCGAGAGCCCGCAGGGATCTGAGAGTTCAAAGCGAGGTCAGACATGCTGCGGCGGGTCATGTCGCTGCTGATCGCGGGAATCTGGTTGATCTTGGCAAAGCCGGTGGTGTTGCTGTTGCCCTGAGTGTTGACGCGAGATGCAGCGATCAGGATGTCGTCGCCCATCGCGGTGTTGTGGGTGTAGACGAAAACCGCAGCATCGTCAGCGAAGGTCTCGCCCTTATTGGTGAAATCGACAATAGCATCGACAACAGCGTCAGAGTTGTCCTTGCTCATGAGGTGGATACCAGTGTAGAGGTCCTTCGCTGGGATCGCTTCCATGTCGAAGCGGGTGACAATGCCGAAGTTGCTGCTGCCGCCCTTCAAAGCCTTGAACAAGTCCGAGTTGGTGCTGTTGTTAGCTTTGACTATGCTTCCATCCGCAAGGACGACCTCGTAGTTGATTACCGAGTCGCATCCGAAACCCATACGACCGGTGAAGTATGAATTACCACCTCCAAGAAGGAAGCCACCCACACCGACGCCGCCATCACGGCCTCCAGTGACGGTCACGTTGTACTTCAGAAGGTTGGCGTAGACATCCTTCCAGTGGTCGCCTGGGCCGATGGAAGCCAGGTTCGTCGCAGCATCGTAAGACGACTGGTTGAAGAAAGCCAGGTCGATGGTGACACCGTTGGCAATGTTGTTCGTGCCAGCCCAGTGGTTATGTCCACCACCACGAACGGCAATATGCCAATCGCCAGCGCCTGAACCAGCGTTCACCAAGGCAGTCAACGCGGCAGAGACTTCCTGCGTGTCCCGGGGCTGAACGAGACACCACGGCCGAAGACGGGCACTCACGGACCAATACGTCGCAATGCGTGTCTCGTAGCCCTCGTCAGTGGCAAAGACCAAGCGGTCTCCCAAGCCAGCCGTAATCAAGGCATCGCACTATAAGGTTGTTACAAATGTCAGTCAGGAACTGTGTCACTTTTTCTTCGTTTACGTTGGTTGCATGACACGCATGTTGCAGGGGTTACTGCAAGTTTGCGGCGTAGGATTGAAGAAAGGGGGAAGCTTGGCGTACAGGAGCAATACCGGTACGGTTCGTGGAGGTTGCACGAATCGCCACCGGCTCCGGGGCCTCGAACGCGGCTGCGGAACAGATACCGGGCAGAAACAGAGCCGAGGCGGCCAAGAGGCTGGTGCTAAAGCCTCCGTTGAACATTGTGGCGTTGGCGAATGCGAGCTGCTCCACGATTGATCGAATAAACCCGGTGGCGATGAAGCCCCCGAGACAACTCGAATAGCAAAGATTGACACGATGTTGGTGAGCTTGTGGACCAGAAGCAACGAACAAATTTCTTCTTTCCACGTGGCGGTAGATATAAATCTTATACATGAGACGGAAGCATGATTTCTGCAATGACCGAGGCGCCGAGATTATTGATGCACGGCGACGGGTCTGCAGGGGAAGAAAGAAGACGATCTAGGGTCTTTAGTGATCAATCGATTCTATCTAAGGCCAAAATCGCTACATTATCCGCATCGGTGTAACTGGTTGAAATTCCTCGTGGTGGCTCTCAGGGGTCGTTGGGTAGTACCTGCAAGTCGATGTTTGCCATAGTAAAAAGTGGCGTGTTGAAGGATGGCGTTCTCAGGGTGACGCGCAAGTCGAATCTTCCAATGCCAAGGAAGTCTT